TGTCTCACATAAACTCGACCCTTTGCCTGCACCCATGATAAGCCTCCATAAACATAAGAAGTTCTGATACTCACATCACATCCGAGCCCCTGAGTGCCCGCGGCCCCGGGAGGGGACTCTGGCCCACGGTATTTGTAGCTTTCCTGGCTCTCACAGCCGTGACCCAGTTAAGGGTGAAAGTATCCGGGCGTCGGGGTGCCCGGTCCCCGCCCCACGCTCACAGCAGAGGGAGGAGCGGCTGGCAACAGAGCCACACTGGAGCTCTGTTTCCTCCAGGAGAATTCCTCCTGTCGCTGGGCCCCGTAGCCCAGAGCCTTTGGAATTCATTCCCAGCGACTCCACCAGGGGTGGAGGGAGCGAGGGAAGGGCCACATGTCCCATCCGCATCGCAGTGCCCGGTCCCTGACCGCTCAGTGCACTGAAAGCCAGAGGTCCCGGCAGGCATGGAGCACAGACTCTTGGGGCGCCTGTCTTACTTCCCTTCCGTTCACCTGCTGTCATGTGTGCAACCCAAAAAGGAACTATTAAGCCACTTAAAGCAGACGTTGTCTTCGTGCCTTTTCACGTGCTCATAGGAAAACCTGAGCCAGAGTGTGCGCTTCAGAACGTTTATTTCATCCCCACCGTAAGAGGAGCTGTGAAGAGCATCTTAGAAAAGGAATGCCTTCACAGTCAGCATCCTTGACTGTGGTTCTGGCTGATCCTGGCCGGGTAGCTGTCAGCAGGTAGCAAACTGCATGACCTAACGTTTTAGCAAGAGTGAGAATAAAGGCTCCGATGCTTCCTGAAACCGGGAACCCCGGTGAGGAAGTCCCTCCCCAAACACGCCATGGCTGGCAGGTGTCAAGGCCGGAGGAAGGCTAGATGCCATCCATCCGCAGCGTCTCCTCTCCCCGCCACCACCCACCGGACTCACCATGTCTGGAGCCGCCATCGTGAAAAGCACAACTAATTTTCTTTTTCATCATAAAAGCCAGCAGGACGGTGAGCCGGCTGCCAACGGGATAGTCCAACCGGGAAATATTTCAAAGTCAGTCGGCCTTGTCGACTCAGTCGTCACAGCAAATGGCATGACCGTGGGCGAAGGAGTAACCCAACCCGCGGGTGGCTATCAGGTAGCCATCGGCAGCCTGACCGCGGGGACCGGGGAGGGGCGACGGGCTGCCCTTTAATTAGTCAGGGAGGTAAGCAAACCTTCGCAGAGCCTTCACGTCGGGGAGCCTTCGGAAGGCAGGCACCCCGTTTGCTGGAAAGAGCAGGGCCGTCCTGCCCGGTGCTGAGCAAGCACCCCGAGAGGCAGATGAAAGGCGTGGTGGGGGTTCCCGTCCCCCCAGGGGACTTAGCCCAAGCGCAGACCTGAAGCAGCTCTGAAGACAAAAGGCAGGGACGCCGACCGGTCTCACAGCCAACTCTCCACAGAGACACTGCCCATGCCGGGGGGGCCTCCGTGTCCCACGGGGTCTCTGCACACAATGCGGCTGAAAGACATTTTGTCGGGAGAGAAAGAGCCTGTGGCTCTGGGCCCAGTGGGTGTGAAACGTGCACTCACTTATTCACAAATGTTCATGGCCATCTGCCATGAGGCCGGGCAGCCAGGCTCAGAGCAGGTGGCAGAGGGATCAGAGCATCCGCCTGTGGTCTCAGGTGGTGACAGACGCTCGGAAGGGGTGAGGCTGGGAGGGGCTCAGTGAGGGACGGGACAGGGGGGGGGGGGGGAAGGCCCCTAGAGAGAGGGATGTTTCAGGTAAGACCTCGGCAACGTACCAAGTGGGTCTCGTGAGCTACGAGGGGAGGTTGTTCCGAGCGTGGGACCATCAACGCCTGAGACCCAGAGCAGATGAGCTGGGGGTGTCTAAGAAACCCCAAGAAAGCCAGTAAGAGGCCGGTGGGCAGGTCATGGGGGCCCAGGCCATTGGAAGGAAGGACTCTGGTTGATTTCTTTGTGGTGGAAAACTGGGAGGAGTTGAGCAGGGGAAGGTCGGGGTCTGAGCATGTGCACCTAGTGCAGGGGCGGGGTGGGGTGAGGAGGGCAGAGAGGGGTTGGACACAACAGAGAGCCTAGAGTAGGCTGCTGAAAACCTCCGCCACCACGGCTGTGACTCGGCCAAGGGCCCAGCGGTGCAGATGAAGAGGGGGGCTGGATTTGGGGTTACTTTGTGTTGTTGGTTTTTTTTTTTAATATATTTTATTGATTTTTTACAGAGAGGAAGGGAGAAGGATAGAGAGCTAGAAACGTCGATGAGAGAGAAACATCGACCAGCTGCCTCTTGCACACCCCCTACCGGGGATGTGCCCGCAACCAATGTACATGCCCTTGACCGGAACCGAACCTGGGACCTTTCAGTCCGCAGACAGATGCTCTACTGCTGAGCCAAACCGGTTTCGGCCTGGGGTTACTTTGAAAGCAGACTTGGCAAGATTTGCCAGTCGTGGTTTCGTTCAGTCTTGTTTTCCTGCCTCCAGCACCTGCCCAGGCACCTATTTGTGTCTTTTGGATTTCACACAGATCATCCTTCAAACTCATAATCCCTTCTTCACATCTTTCCTAACTATGCTCTCCATTCTCTGAACAAATGTTTAATATTTTCCTATTGCTCTTGAAAGATAACTGTTCAAGCTAAGAAAAGGGATTGCGACTAGACAAGAAGAAATAAAAGGCATCCAAATTAGAAAAGAACAAGTAAAACTGTCCTTGCTCGCAGATGACCTGATAGTGTACATAAAAAAAACCCTATAAAGACTCCATCCAAAAATTATTAGACTTACTAAATGAATTCGGCAATGTAGCAGGATACAAAATCATCGCCAAGAAATCTATGGCATTCCTATACATCAATTTTGAACTTACAGAAAGAGAGACTATATATGCAGTCACCTGAATTACAGTAAACATCCTACAGTGATTCACTGGGCAAATGATGGTTTTGCAAGGAAGGAGTGGAGAAACACATGAACTTGTCCCCCTACCTCACACCATACACAGAATTAACTCAAGTGGATCGTAGAGCTACATGTAAAGCATAAAAGTGGCAAAGCTTCCAGGAGAAAACAGGGAGACCACCTTCATCAATGCTGGATTAACGACGATTTCTTAAACAGGATACAGGAAGTTCTAACCGTTAAAAAAAATAAATCAATTAATTTTCATTCAAATTGAGAATTTGTGTTTCACCCAAAGACAGTGAGAGACTAAAAAGGCAAACCGCACCCTGGATGAGTTATTACCGTTACATGCTTCCAACAAAAGACTTATCTCCAGAGTTCCCACAAATGAATAAGAAAAACCAAACAACCCTTTTTAAAAAGGCCGAAGCCTTGACTACGATCTTCCACAAAGGGTCACTGAAGTGGCCAATTGCCTGTCTCACGGTGCTCAGTGTCACTGCCGTGCAGGGAAATACAAACTAGAACCACAGTGAGACTGGCTAAAACTGAAAAGACTGACAGTTTCAAGTGTGGACAAGTGTGGACAGTCTGACCCACCTCAGACTGGCTAAAACTGAAAAGACTGACAGTTTCAAGTGTGGACAAGGATGGAGAGCAGCCGGAGGGACGCTCACCCCCTGCTGGCGAGGGGCAAAGGAACAACTGCTTGGTAAAACAGCTCAGCAGCTTCTAACGCCGTGTAGTGCGTACCTACCCTGTGAGCCAAAAATCCCACCCGTGGACAAGGGCCTAACAGCAATGTACATCGGGCACCAAAAGACATACTCAAGAGTGTTTGCAGCAGCCCAACAATGGAAAACCACACTCATGCACGTAGACAGGGAAATAAATCATGGCAAATTAATCGCATAGAATGCTACCTAGCAGCGCAGTGCACTAACGAGGGCTACAAACAACAGCGTGGATTCATTTCACACACAGAATTCTGGACAAGAGTACGTGCTGTGTGGTTGTATTTATTTTTTTATTTTTTATTTTTAAATATATTTTATTTATTTTCTACAGAGAGGAAGGGAGAGAGATAGAGAGTTAGAAACATCGATGAGAGAGAAAATTGATCAGCTGCCTCCTGCACACCTCCTACTGGGGATGTGCCCACAACCAAGGTACATGCCCCCTTGACTGGAATTGAACCCGGGACCTTTCAGTCCGCAGGCAGACGCTCTATCCATTGAGCCAAACTGGTTTCAGCTGTGTGGTTGTATTTATTTAAAGTTCAGAAGCTGATGTACAAGCTAGCAGGGTGGCTGCCTTTTTAGGGACGGAAGAGATAGCTAGGAGGCTGGGCGGGGACTGGGGGCAGGGGAGCTCCTGAGATCCTGGTAAGCTGGAGAGCAGACTTGCTAGGCCTTGGTGCTATTAGCAATTTGGGCTGGACCCTTCATTGCCCTCTTCCACACCATAGCACCCCCGGCCTCAACCGCTAGACGCCAGTAACAAACATCCCTTTCCCTCATTCTGGCGATCAAACATGTCTCCAGAGGTTGCCATGGGGAGCCAGAACGCCCCCGCCTGACAACCACAGTTTGATGGCGGTCCCGGGGGAGCTCGGGTGTGTGCTCGCTTTAGGAAAATCCATTGAGCTGCGCACAATGCAGCAACTTTGCTGCGTGCATAAAAACCTTTCTCAGCTTAAGGTTTTACAAGTTGAAAAAAGAACTCGGTGGATAACTAAATGGGCCAAAAAATGTTGGAGTGAGCATGGAAGATAGGTACAGTCTGCACATAAGAGACTAAGACCCAGGGTCATGCAGGCTCTGTGGCTTCAGACCCCAGTGGAGACCCCTCGGCCCTGGCTCCCTCCCCCTCCCCCTCTCTCATGCAGACTTACTCCCAGCGCAGCCAGGCAGAGCTAAGGCTGGCTCTGCCCAGGGTCCTCTGGGGCCTGAACCCGCTGTGGAAACAGGGCTGACGGGTACTGTACCCCAGCACCCCACCAAGAGAATTCTGAAAGCCAGTCTCACACGCAAACAGGATATTAGGTTTTGTCAGAGAGATCAAAAAAGGCTTGAGGTTTTTCTTCGCAGCCTCAGCCTCTCCTGCCACTCCCTCTCTGGCTTTATCTGCTCATTTCAGTCGGAGGCAGGAAGAGATGGCAGCCGGGGAGACCCAGGTCTACGCCAAGGTCAACAGCAAGCTCAAGGCCCGCAGCGCCACCTCCCTCCTGGACCCCCTGCTGGGCATGGGCTTCCCGGCACACACCGCGTGAGTACTCCCCGCCGGGCACCTGCCCCTGACGCACACCCCGACCCCCTGAGGTCCCGGCCACAGCACTGCAGGCCGCTCCGAGCACCGACTTCCTGTGGAAGGCGTGCATGCGCCTGGCAGGCGAGGTGCTGCTGCTAAATTAGGCCCTTTGCCGCCTGTACATGGCATGATCGGGACCCACTCTGCTGGCCGGCTGGTGGGGGGGAGGGGGCTGAGTTTGTGAACACAGAAACCACGTGTCCCTGCGGTGCCCCCACTTCTCAGGGTTTGGAGGGGCCTGGGGCTTGTTGTGCCGTCTGTGTGGGCAGCTCGGTGCCTCAGAGAGGACTTTTCAAACTCTGATCTGAAAGGCCCCGCCAGACTGCTTCTGGGACCAGTGAGGTGAGAGCCTTCTAAATGGCGCAGGACACTCTCCGTCCTCAGGAAACATCTCGAGGGCCTGATAATGAAACAAAATGGCTCAGAATCTACGGGGTTAGCACGACCCTGCGTGTCCAAGGAAAAAGCCCAAGGGTAGAACACTTGAACTGCAAGGATCACCCCTCTCCACAAGAGAAGGAGCCCCAAAGCGATGAGCTGTGACACGGACCCCGGTGACAGCTTCCGTAGAAGCCCAGTTCTTAGAGCCGGCCCTTTCCAATGTCACCCACGCGGAACATACACCAGAAGTCCCTGAGGCAGCCCCGGGTTTGGGACGGGGGCAGACTTCCCGTGACCATGATAGTGACATCCCAACCACATTGGACGGAATGATGGTGACGCTGGACGTTGTCCTCACACCGTGTTCTCCACAGCCCGGGGCCGGTGAGACGGAGCGGAAGGCAGCGTGAGCAGGTGCCCGCCCTGTGCGCCCCCATCCCCAGCACCTGACATCGGGGGCAGAGGGGACACTGAGGCGGGGAGGGCAGGTGGCTTCCTACCTTGGGCAGGACCCAGGCCCCACTCTCAAAAACACCGAAAAAGACACGCTCTGCCTCACTGCTCACACTGGAGCATGGACACACACTCAAAATCCCTCCCAATTTAAACATCGGCCACACATTGGGGGTAGGAGACCTGTTTTGTTTGTGTGTGTGTGTGTGTGTTTGTGTGTTTTATTTATTTTATAAATATATTTTTTTTTCATTGATTTCAGAGAGGAAGAGAGAGAGAGAGAGTTAGAAACATTAATGATGAGAGAGAATCACTGATTGGCTGCCTCCTGCGTGCCACACACTGGGGACAGAGCCCCCAGCCCAGGCATGTGCCCCTGACCGGAATCGAACCTGGGTCCCTTCAGTCCGCAGGCCGAAGCTCTATCCACTGAGCCACACCAGCCAGGGCTAGGAGACCTATTTTATTTTATTTTATTTTATTTTTCCTTTTAAATGTTCTGTTTTATTGTGTGTTATTTTTTATTTATTTTTCTTTTATTGTTTGAAGTATTACAAACAGTAGTCCACATGTCTCCTTTGTATCCCCCATTGACTTCCCACTGGCCTCCCCACCCCCAGTACATGGTCTCACCTGCTTTTCCCCTCCCCCCCATCCCCCCCAGTGTCTTGTATCCATTGGTTGTGCTTATATGTATGTGTACAAGTCCTTCGGTTGACGCAGGCGTCTTCAAACTACGGCCCGCGGGCCACATGCGGCCCGCAGAGGAGTCTGATCTGGCCCGCCAGGTTTTTTGGGCAGTGAGCGCAGCCGAGGTGTTACAGTAGGAATTAGTAGTTCATATAGTCCGGCCCTCCAGCTCTCTGAGGGACCGTGATCTGGCCCCCACTTTAAAAAGTTTGAGGACGCCTGTCTCACTCCTTCCAAACTTCCCAGGCTCCCTCCTGCCCCCAGCCTCCTTTTAGGACCTGTGTTACCATTGTTGACCTTGACCGTCACAAGCACCGATCTGAAACAAGGCTTTCTAGGTCCTAGGGGATCTATTTTAAACCCCTCGTTAGTCTGGAGCACCCCAGTAAGGCTCCGAGCCGGGGCCTCTCTGGGGGACCCTCTCCCAAAGGCACATCCTTCGGTGCTGACCACAGAGCAGCACTGATCCGCACCCCCGGCCTCCGTGTCCCCCTCGGACACTTCAGGCTGAGCCCCTGGACCAAGGCCGTTAGCCGCTTCCCTTCTCTCCCATGTGCTCCGGCTCCGTACACGGAGCTCAGTGCCTGTGCCTCCTGGTCACACGGTGAGGAGACACAGCCAGGCCACGGGGACCTGGTGAGAGAGGCAAGCGGACGTGAGCTCACGGAGACCATAGCCGTAAGTGAGGTGGCCGCCTGCATGGCTGGGCCAGAGGGGCTCACGCCCACCAGGTTGCGTTTGGAGCGGGCCTCGAAGGGGGACGTTTGAGGGAGCCGGGAAAAGCATGGGTGTGGGGGCGCGGGGCTGCATTTGGCGGGGAGACAGGCATGCAAGCCAGGGCTGTACCCTTCCGGCCGCCTGGAGGATAGGGAGTGTGTCCACCCGGCCCCGGTGCAGGGTATGGGGGGTGGGGAGGAGACAGACTGCAGGCCTGGGTAAACCACAGACATGACCCCTGGCCTCCCTGCCAAGGACTGAAAGGAAAGCGGGCGGGGGCCGGGGAGCAGGTCTGCGCGCCCACAGAAGGCAGGAGGGCCCGGGGAGGACAGGGGCAGGGGCCTGCGCTGCATCCGGCTGTGCAGTGTGGCAGCCCAGCCCCTGGGGGACAAGGGGCAGGGCAGGGGGCCCGCTGTGTGGCAGGCTGGCCCTGCCTCTCACCCCATCCACACACCCTGCAAGGCGGGCTCTGAATGCTCCCGCTTTCCTGCAGGCTGAAGGCATTGGCAGCCACCGGGAGGAAGACGGCAGAGGAGGCCGCAGACTGGTGAGTGGGGCGTCTGCCCATCGGGGAGCCTGTGGCTGGGGACTGGAAAGGTGGGCCCTGGGAGGCACTCAGTACAGTCTGGCGGGGTGGGGCCAGTTCCCTGTCAGCCCTCCCATCGCTGAGGGAAGGGAATAAGGAATCCACGTTTCAAACAGAAAACAAGAGAGAGAGGAGAGAGCTTGAAACAAGGCTTTCTTGGCTTAAAATCTAATTTAATTCGACGCACTGTCAAAGAAGAAAACAATCCATGTGGTTGCACACCCAGCAAAGAGCCCTCTGCTGACACAGACTAGCGGTTGCCCCTCCCTGGCTGCCTCCGGGAGAGAATTTCCAGCGGCTGTAAATTCCCCTGAGGCGTCCGCAGGGGACCTTAAGGGACGCCAGGTGGTCCGGGCGGGTGAGGCGCTCCGGTTCCAGGCAGGTCCCACCCACCAGCTGTGTGACGCTGCACGCCACCCACGGGCCTCGGCTGTCTAGAGGGCACCCCGTTCTCTAGAACCCGGTCCCGCCTGAACATGCCATGATGCCACCGATCTGCCCCAGGCGGGAAGTCCCCTCACGCTGCCCCGAAACAGCCACTGTGGAACTCAAACAGTAAAGACCAGGTCCCGCGGGCTGGGGTGCCCTCCACGGAGCAGACGGCAGGTACGGGCAGGGGGTCTCTGAGTGTCCAGCATGGCCTCCATGGGAATGCCCTTCTTCCTCCAGGAACTCTAGGCCAAGGGCAAAGCACATGACAGAGAAACAGCAAGGCCAGATTTCAATTAGAAACCAAGCCCACGCGGGAAAGGCCCTGGTTGGCCCCTCAGCCATGAAACTAGAAGTCGTACCAGCGAACTGGGAGACAGTAGGATCCCCCAGTCTCAGTCTGGTGTGGGTCCAACCTCACCAGTAGCTGGGGAGGTGCCAATTCTGATGCCCTTCAGGACAACAGCACCTTCAAGGGTTGGTGAGGGAGAGGAAAGGGGTGGTCTCTCACTTCCCTGGTTGCAGTGGGAGGTGTCTATCAACACTGAAGGTGTGTGTAACAGCCCACAACCAGCAGTTCCAAGTCTAAAGACATCCTCTGGAGAAACACAAAGGGGCTAAAAAAGCAGGAACAGAACCCTTCATTACAGTGTTAAAAAGAAAGCTGTTTGAATGCACACCAATGGGATAGAAAAAGGGAAGATTGCACATGGGTGTGTGTGATGGGATGGTACACAGTGCTGAGAAGGTTCCTGCTTCACTAGGAGTATATGTATTAGCGTGGGGAAGTTGGAAAAACATGGTTGAGTAAAAAAATGCAAGGGGCAGAATAATTTCAACAATGACTTAGGATTTATATAAAAGACATACACAAGTGCTATCTATGAATTTATTACTTATGTGTCCAGAAGAAAACAAAGCAAATTAACCATTGAGGTTGCCTCTAGAAGTGGGAGGTGAGCCAGTTTGAAGGGGAGGAGCCAGGATGAAGGGAGAGGTGCCAGGATGAAGGGGAGGAGCCAGGATGAAGGGGGAGGAGCCAGGATGAAGGGGGAGGTGCCAGGATGAAGGGGAGGAGCCAGGATGAAGGGTGAGGAGCCAGGATGAAGGGGGAGGGGTGTGTTCTTTATTACTAGTAGGGAGATGTATTTGCATGTAACTAATGTTTTCCTGAGTGGTTGTCTACTACTTTCTAAACTTAACATCATCTCACAAGCACTTCCCTGAGTCATTAGAAATCTTCAAAACCACAATTTCTAATGAACAGATACGTAAATTTACTATTCTTTATCTAGTTTGTCCTTCTTTTCTATTGTAAATAACCCTACATTCAACATTCCATACATGCAGTTTTTTCCAGACATTTTGTTTTTACCTTTGGCTAACTTCCGGAAGTTGACTTATTAGTTCAAATGACTAATTTTAAGGCTCTTGGCACATACCAGCAAGTTGCCGTATATAAATGAGGCACAAATGCATCCTGAAAGCTCGCTATACCTTTACTCCATTGAGCATAACTTTCATCCTTTGAAAAACATTTTGTTCATTTGACAGGTGAGCAAATGGCTATTTTAATTCTCATGTTTTTTATTAATGAGTTTTGGTTTGTATATTCTTTTCCCTTGAATCAAAAATAACTTTTTCTGAGTTGCAAGAAAATCTCATAGCCACCTAAATTGTCTAATTCTTTGTGGTTTTGATGTTTACATTTGATTGAAAGTGTGAGATAAAATTAAGATGTGAATAATTTCCACAACATTTTTCAACACTCAGGGGATGACTGGGCCACACGGGTCATCTGAAGACCAGGTTTTATTTCCCTGTCACCTTTCTCTCAACTCCTTGACCTTTGACCGGGGAATCGGCCTACGCTGGGCCTGAATGCTGAGTGAACTCTGGCCCCTCTGTGGCCACAGAAGCTAACGTTTGGGCCTGTCCCCCTGAGGTGGCTGGAGCACGGGTGTATGTGGCCTCGGGCGCTCAGCACGGCCTGGTGCTCTGTCCTCCCGGGGGAGAGACTCTTTGGACAGGACGCCGGGTGACGGCGGCCGCTCTCTGTTGCAGGCTGCGCTGTCACTGCAATGACCCTTCCCTGGACGACCCCATCCCGCAGGAGTACGCCCTGTTCCTCTGCCCCACGGGGTCCCTGCTCGAGAAGCTCCAGGAGTTCTGGAGGGAGAGCAGGCGCCAGTGCACGAAGAACAGGGCCCATGAGGTCTTCCCGCACATCACGCTCTGTGATTTCTTCACGGTGAGTCCGCCCCGACGGCCTCTCAGGCTGGTGACCACGCCAGCCAAAGTCATCTTCGGCGATAGCTCAGCTGTGATGGGGCAACACTGAGGGCAGCCACACGCTTTGTTCTTAGGGGGCGTCCACAGCTGTAGTGTGAGCGGACCTCTGTGTGAGATGTCCTTTACTCACCTCCTCACCTTTATCTGGTCACCTCCTATGCATCCTGCAGAACCCAATCATTTATCCCATCCCTTTCCTAAGTCTTTCCCCGCTTCCCAGGCAGAAGGGATGGCTGCCCTTGGTGCTCCCACCTTTCTTGTGTCTCTATCTCGATTGGCACTTTCCTGTTGTCTGGGCACCTCTGCATCCCTCATCAGGTGGAACCCCATCTTTGCACCACCGAGATTAGCACGGTGCCGGAAACAGGGGAGGTGCTTCAGAAAGGTGCGATGGGTCAGTCGAGGAATGGCTGAGCTTGGCCAGTCGCAAATGTAGGACTATTCCCTGCTGGGGGACCAGCCCTGACTTAGGAAACGGTCCCATAGACAACTCCATAGGTCTCCTGGGAAGGAGACGTGGACCTGGCTGCTCAAAAAATAAAAAATAAAAAGGAGGTGTGAGAAGGAGGTAGGGAGGGACAGACACCACTTCCTCTGTGGCTCCCAACAGAACAACCTGGAGAGGGCACACCCTAGCCCGGCCTTGACGCCAGCGAACTCTGTGGGTTCCACCCAGCAGTCAGGCCGGGCAGTGCGGGCAAGATTCTTCAGGTGACTGGAGGGGCCTACCCACAGCTTTGGGGTGAGGACTGGCATTTGGTGCTAGGGAGAGTATTGGGACAGAACTGAGTGCGGTGAACTGGGGGGCAGAGTCTCAGTTGGTGAAGCGGCCCCCAGAATCATGATGCAGGGGACTTCTGTGGGAGAAACACCTGCAAGGGATAAAAGAGAAGGAAGGATGGTGCAGGGCTGGCACCCATGGATTGGGGGCGGGGGGGGGGGGGGTGAGACAGCACCAGTGTCTCACCTGCACTTGCTGCTCCCAGAAAGACGGGAGCCTGAGAGCCGAGACCCCGCCAGGGGCCATGACTGACCGGGTCACTATGGGAGAGTGGCCCATGGCTGGGGCATAGATCACCCCCCCTCCTCCCGGGCACACAATACTGCCCTCCTCACTGTAGGCTCTGAGCATGTGCCATGGCTGTTTTGGGGTCTATAGAAACCTCCAGAACCAAAGGGTGCCATGGGGAGCACAGCCCTGGGCCCCAGGGCGGAAAGGGTGCTGACTCAGGATGTGATGCGGAGGCTGAGTCAGCATGACGGGGCGTGAGGGGCTGTAGTTAAGTGGCAAGGGACTTCCAGCCTTGAAGGAATATTCCATTCCACAAAGAATCTTAACCTGAAATCTCTGAGAAACGGAGGGCCCAATATAGAACAAATCCCCAAACACATGACCCAGACCAGTCACACTGCAGTGTTGTGAACAGAAAAGAGGCTCACTGGGTGGCCTAATTTTTATTAATTACATTAACTGGAGTGAAAAATAATAAACGACCTGGAGACGCTCATGCTTTAGTGAAACAAGCCAGTCTTGAGAAAGACAAATATCACATGATCTCACTTATCTGTGGAATCTAATGAACACAATTAATTGACCAACAAAATAAGACCTGAAGCATGGAGACACAGACACATGAAACAGACTGACATACATTGACTTGAGGTGAGGGGACTAGGAGAGAGAAACCAAAGAACTTATATACGTATATGCATAGCCCATGGACACGGACAATAGGGTGGTGGAGACCTCAGTGCCAAGCGGGGGGAGGGGGGATGAGGAGGGGCAAGGAGGGGCTGGGCAGAAGAGGGTACAGGGGGGAAATGGGAGACATCTGTAATACTGTCAACCATAAAAAAATATTAAAAATACAAAAATTTAACAATAATAATAAAAGAGGCACTTTAAAATGGGGCAGGAGCTGCCATCCCAGAAGTGCCCTGCACACCTATGCCTCAAACCTCGGAATGCTAGAACAGGCAAAACAGCCTCGGACTGGCCTGAACCACCTTGTCCCCGAAGGGCTGGCCGCAAGGGTAACCAGAAGCCAGCTGCGGTGACGACTGGGCTGAAAGTCAGAAACATCATTTCCCATCAGCGTCACTGTGTTAGCGTATCCGCACCAACAGCCATGCCTGCCTTCTGTGGGTGCAATCGCCCTCCTTCCCATCAGGGTACCCTGGCCTTTGTCTTCTGCCCGAATCCCGCTTCCCACCCAGCTGTCCGTTCCTGGATCACAAGTCCGTGACGCTGCCTCGCACTTAGAAAGGCCTCCGTTTCAGTTTAACACGTGGCCTGGCCACAAGTGCTGTGAGAGCACACGGCTGTCTCTTCCCTAGCCCCGTGGTTGGCAAACATGCGGCTCGCGAGCTACAAGTGGCTCTTTGGCCCCTGGAGTGTGGCTCTTCCACAGAGTACCACGGCCTGGGTGAGTCTATGTGGAAGAAGTGGCGTTAGAAGAAGTTTACATTTAAAAAATGTGGCTCTCCAAAGAAATTTCAACCGTTGTCCTGCTGGTAGTTGGCTCTGTGGGCTCATGCGTTTGCCAACCCCTGCCCTAGTGTGAAGACCAGAAGGTGGAGTGTCTGTACGAGGCTCTAAAGAGAGCCGGCGACAAGGTGCTGGGCTCCTTCCCCCCAACTGTCCCGCTGGTGCTCCACTCTTCCGTCAGCTACCTCGGCTTCTTCGTCAACGACAGCCCTGCTGACGTCATCCGGGAGTTCGCCATGGCCTTCGCCACGGAAGCGGCCATCTTGGCAGGTAGGCAGCCCCAGCAGGTCGCACGCACTGGGCAGGGTGAAGAGAAAGTGGTCCCTCTGTGTGGGGGGCTGTGCTCTCCACACTGGGACACCGTGGGGCGGCCCAGCGCAGGAAGCATTCAGGCTGATCCTGAGCACAGCGATGGTCAGACGGCTGGCTGGGCCAGGACCAGGGGGATCATACCCATCCCCTCTGGCTATACCCATCCCCCCTCCCTTGCCAAGCGACGTCTTTGAGGTGGCCTTACGCCAAGGCTGAACGATCTCACTCGTCTTCTCCAGGGATCAGGTGTCCTTAAAGGGAAGCAGACAGATTCTGAGAATCAGCGGTGTCTTGTCTCAACGTGGGAATAGCCTTGTCTGCATCGGTTTCAAATGGTTCTCTAAGCACTTGCCATATTCCAGACGCCAAGGAAACTGTTCCAGGGGGACGGGTGTGGCTCTGTAAAGGCAGGATTGTCAGCTGGTGGGCACACAGGGGGACAGGGGTGTCCCCCACCCCTGTGCCCACCTTGGGCAGTGACCTTCACCAAGTCAGGGCTGTGTGTGACCCACAAGTCCTAGCTGGTTTACTTTAATGGTTAGGTGGCAAGAGCTCAGTCCTCTCTCCTTGGCTTCTTGGGGGAAGATTCTTTGAGAATCAACAAAATTCCTTTTTCTCCAGATGCCAGTCTTCACACTTCCCCCTAAAAGTGGGTCTCCTTGTCCATTTCCCAAGTGAAAGCACTGAGGCTCTGAAGGGTAATCTGTCTGCCCAAGGTCACTGTCGTGGGTTGAACAGTGTCCCCTACAATCCCTGTCTACCCACCACCTCAGAAAAGGACCCTGGTTGGAAATGGCGTTTGCAGACATAATGGGTTGACATGAGGTCACACTGGAGCAGGGTGGACCCTAAATCCCATCACGGGTGTCTGTGTCCTTGTGAGAAGAGAGGGGACCCAAGAGGGGGTCACAGGAAGATGAGGCGGAGGTCGAGTGATGCAGCCACAGCCAAGGAGGACTGGAGGCCCCAGGAGCCGGGAGAGGCCAGAAGGACCCTCCCCTGGAGGCCCAGAGGGCGCAGGCCCTGCCCCCACCTCGATTGGAGACATCTATTCTTTAGAGCTCTGTGGGAACACAGTCCCGCTGTGAGCTGCCCAGTCCGTGGCCATTTGTGAGAACAGCCCTAGGAAACCAACGTTCTCCTACGCAGTGGGTGGTGGGCCTGGACCTCGAGTCCAGCTCGGAGTTTCATGCTGAGCAGCCACGGTCCTGAGAGACTGGCCTTGACCTCATGTCCACCAGGGGACCCGGAGCAGCCTCTGCCCTGCCCTTCCGCTGCCTGTGGCCTGCACCTGACCCTGGGGACGTAGGAGGGGCTCCGGTGTCCCCGTGGGCTCAGGGCGCAGGCAGAAGCAAAGACAAGGGCCCATTCAGAAGTCGGGGTGACTCACCGATGGCCCCGATGCGGAGAGCAGCGGATCTCTCTCAGGCCGCACTGACTCATGTGGCCAGACCCTGCCCCCATCTTAGACACCGGAGAGAGGGAATTTCCCTGACACCCACTCACTCTCCCGCTTCAGGCTGCTCACCTCCACGTGCCTCGTTTGCCACTAAAGGCGGGTGAATCGTGGTGGGGCTGCCACGTCTGGGCTCCAAGAAGTGCTCGCCACACCCAGACATTTTTCAGGGGAGACAGGTCCTGTGTGCTGCCCAGGGCGGGAGGGGAGGCGGGAACTGATAGTTACTGGGACTCAGAGAGCCTGGTGTCCACAGCAGCCCCAGCAGGCGGCCCTCACTAACCTCGTGCTGCTGCTGTCGCCACGGAGGCTGGGAGGGCTAAGGGGGCCCCGCCCAAAGGGGCAGAAGCAGTTAAAGCCAGGGCACCTGACGCTAAACTCAGAGCTATTCCGTCAGTCACCATCTCCCCAGAACATAAAGTGCCCGTGGCGTCGCTGACATCAGGTCCTGGCTGGCCCGACAGCCCTGAGTGAGGACCTGAGAGCTGGGCCCGGAGGCCAGAGACCCCCAGGAGGCCCAGGGCCAGTGAGCAGGGGGACGGGGGGGGGAACGACAATCCTGTTGAACAGAGTCCCGTTGCCTCTGATGTTTGCTCCCTGAGACTCTGCAGCTGAACAGAGTAATTGACCCCAAGAGTGAGCCCGCCAGTCCAGGCCGCGGAGGGCACGCACGCCCAGGGAGGGAAGCGTCCACTTCATACGAGTTAATCAGCTGCTTGGGCAGCTCGCTTACAAACGGACAGGCCCCAAACACTCCTAAAACCCACATCTCTACTCCCAGCTCTCCTACACGTCCTTACAGAATCTGCAGGTACCCAACCAGCTCCTGTATACGGTGAACTCTGCCAGGTGGCATAAGCTGGCCGAGGGTGCTTCGTGCAGAGGCAGGGAGGCCACATATGTAAGCTTGGGCTGCTGAGCCGGGCACATAGCCATCCTGGCCACGTAGCCACCCTGGCCGCGCAGTGCTGACGGAGGGCACCGCCGGTGCACCCGGTTTTGCAGACTGCACCGTGAAGCCTTGCACCAAGCAGCTGCACCTGACGCTGGCCCACAAGTTCTACCCCCACCACCAGAGGACGCTGGAGCAGCTGGCCAGAGCCGTGCACCCGGGCCACAGCTGCCAGTGGACCGCTGCACTGTACTCGCGAGACATGCGCTTTGTGCACTACCAGGTGAGCAGCCGGGCGGGCGGGCGGGCCCACAGGCAGGTCCTCCCACAGGAACTAATGCATGAGTGTCCCCTCCGACCAGCACTTACCCAGCAGCCCTCCCCTAGAGGGATTTTAGTAGAAGGGAAATCCTCTATTCTCTCTCTAAAACTATTTCTCTTTTGGGGCAATTTGCAACTAGCATTTTTTTTTTTTATCAATACAGGTTGGGACAAAAGTAGGTTTACAGTAATGAGTACGCAACACAGTTTATCCTCATATTATTCATTAATTGTTGTATTACTGTTTCCATCCAAACAACTGCGAACCTACTTTTGCCCCACCCTTTGTAAGTGACAGACCCACAACTTTGAAAAAGCAAAATAAATGGAAGCATTTCTGATCATTAAAAAATGGAGCACTGCAATGATTTATCAATACATTGTGTTGCCTATTAATTTATTTAGACAATGATTTGGGCAAAGACTTTCTCTCGCTAAGTTGATTCTTTCAAGTAGAAGCCAGGCAGCGCTCCTTACAGACCCACAGAATAAGTATGAGTGAACGCACCAGGTTTCATGCTGTGAGAGAAGCCATAAAAATTCACACCAAGGAAGGTGGACGTAAAAGTCTGATTATACTTTGAGATCTTTCATATAAGAAATAAGCACAAAGAGATAGATGGGTAGGTAGGTCGGTAGGTGAACAGATAATAGATGAATGATGGAAAGATATTATAGATGACAAACAGGATAGAGAGGTGATAGGTGACAGGTTGATGATAGATACGTGCATAGGCAGATGGTAGACACCACCATTCATTTCTAAATCTACCCAAAGAATCCCATGCTGCATTGTGTTTCATTCTGCACTGTCATCGGACACAGGCATGGGGAGCGTCTGGGAGACACAGCCCCCCAGGCAGCCAAAAGCCAGAGCAGTGAGCCCCCTGCGGGCATCTTTCCCAGCACAGGTCCGTGCAGGAGACTTGACCGCCCTTGCCTCTCTTCCAGACCCTGAGGGCCCTGTTTCAGTACAAGCCCCAGAACGTGGATGAGCTGACACTAAACCCCGGCGAGTACATCTTCGTGGACCCCACGCAGCAGGAGGAAGCCAGCGAGGGCTGGGCGATCGGGATCTCGCAGCGGACCGGCTGCCGGGGCTTCCTGCCCGAGAACTACACGGAGCGAGCCAGCGAGTGTGACACCTGGGTGAAGCACAGGTGAGTGTGGCCTCTAGCGGCAGCCCACCCGCCTCTTAGTCAGTGCCCGAGAGCGTCCCCCTGAGGACTGTGGGCATAGTGTTTGCATGCTTCCCGAACATTCCATCGTTGGTAAAAAAAAAAAAAAAAAAATGCCTATTCTGTGCCAGAAGCATTCTCCCTGCAGGGATACGGTAAGTGTCCTGGCTGATTCGTGGTTTTCTGCTGATAATATTCAGAAAACACGGATTACTCTAATCATTAGAGTCTAATGGCTTCTAAGTTCTAATCCCAAAAGACTGCAGAATGCCGCTTCCTTCGTATGGACATAAATTACCATCAGAGGTCCTATGCTTGGTTTCACTTATCCTTCCACCCAGTGTATAAACTGTAGAGTCCTACGGTGCATTCTTTGTGTCCTGTTGCTGTGTAATCATGTCCTTACCAGCTACACTACATCCTCCCGTTTCCACGGGTCAGGAGTCTGGACATGGCTTAGCTCAGGGGCTCCCAAGGCTGCAGTCGGGGGCTTATCTGAGGCTGGGGGTCCTCCCACAAGCTCACATGGTTGTTGATGGAATTTATTTCCTCAGAGCAGTTATTTCACAATTAATATCAGTCACTCCTCGCGACTTCATGTTCAGCTGGAATTTATGTTTTTATTGGTTTCAGAGAGAGGAAGGGAGAGAGAGATAGAAGCATCCATGATGAGAGTGAATCATTGATCAGCTGCCTCTTACATGGGGGACCAAGCCAGCAACCCAAGCCTGTGCCCTGAACAGAAATCAAACCATGACTTCCTGGTTCATGGGTTTATACTCAACCCCTGAGCCACACTAGCAGGAATTTCTTAATTTTAGCATCTTTAACATCACCTGAAGAGTCTGAGGATTTTCAAAATCGCCAAGTGCTGCTTCCGCTTATTTAACAACGCTTCCCTCGATTTCTCTCTCTCCTCACACCTTTAACACCCTGCATAGATGTGTCCTTAGCTACATAACCTAATTCCTCACTTACAAGCTCTGCTTTCCACAGACAATTTCACTAGACTTTTTTCCACTACATAAGGACACTCCATCCTTCAGTTTCCTATAATGTTTGTGTCACTCCCTCTGACTATTCACCAATAATACCTCTAACACCCATACTTCTATTAAGGTTTAACCAGTAATTTTTATATTACATAAGGTGGGGCCAAAGTAGGTTTACAGTTGTGAATATGCAAAACAAGAGTTTATTCTTGGATTATTATTTATTTAGTAGTAACCCAGTACATGAAATTCATGCACATTAAAAGGAAGCTAATTAGAGGAAATATTTTAATATTGCTATTTGCCTTTTCTCTATAATAGAAGTGTTAAAGATGGAAGAAAATTAGTAAAATGTATATAAAAATCTCCCTCCTGTCAGAGTCTGGGGCACGCCATGGGACCCAGAGTCAAGTCCCCGCCCACCCGCATACACCTTGAAATCGCACAAGACCCAAACCCGGCCAGTCCCTCCTCTCCCTCCTCCCCCCTATCCCCCTGCCCCCTACATTGCGTGAGATCTGGGCCCAACTAGTCCCACCCCTATCAAACCCTGCCAGGCAGGGGGCACAGCATCAGGTCCCCCACCCTGGCCCACCACCATGCAGCCTCAGGTCCCTGCTGATCGCTCGTTATGGGAACCCCACCTCTGCTGTGGGCACAGCCATCTTGTGTTACCTAGCAATGTGAAATCCTAGGTGAGTTTCAGAACAGGAACCCTGCCTCCACTGTGGGTGCAGCCATCTTGTGACAGCATGATGAAGTAAGGATCAATTTGCATATTACCTCTTTATTATATAGGATTGTTGTATTACTTTCCATACTTCTTTAAAATATATATTTTATTGATTTTTTTTTAGAGAGAGGAAGGGAGAAGGAGAGGGATAGAGAATTAGAAACTTCAATTCAGCTGCCTCCTGCACACTCCCTACTGGGATGTGCCCACAGCCAAAGTACATGCCCTTGACTGGAATCGAACCTGGGACTCTTCAGTCCGTAGGCTGATCCTCTAAACTAGGGGTGTCGAACTCAATCAGAGAAGGGGCCAAAATCTAAAATCCAGCCTAAATCGCGGGCCGAATGGTTTACTGAACAGTCATAAACTGACAATGTTAACCAGAAATGTGAATTTAAAATGAGTGGAACAATCTTTTCCTTAACAGTGCTGTTAACCAACTCACATGCTATCAAGGATTTGGCCCGCGGGCCTTGTGTTTGACACGTGTGCTCTAAACCACTGAGCCAAACTGTAAACCTACTTTTGGCCCACCCTCTGTGTGTGTGTGTGTGTGTGTGTGTGTGTAGGTAACATATAATTATTTATAATATAATTTATATTGTGTTATATTACTTGTATTATTTGTATTATAACATATACATGCATTGTACACATGTATGTACATGTAAATATATGGATTTATTACAGGGAGTTTTCTTGTGCAGTTGTTGGGACTGGCCAAGCAAGGGCAGGCAAGAGGGATGGGAAGGAGCCCACAGCTGCCTGGAAACTATGGGCGAGTGAAAGCTGGGGGTCTAGTGTGACCATCCAGTAAACGTGCATACAAATACATACCTTGCATGGGCAGAGGGATGAGCAGTTGCAGACACAGCTGCTACTCAGACTCTCTGAGCTCAGGGAAGCCCGAAGCCTTTTTTAAAGACCTTTCAAGCCCAGCCAGGGCACTCCCCCTTTTGATTAACTTATAGTCAACTGATTAAGGACTTTAATCACATCTGCAAAATCTCTTCAGCAGCACCTATGGCATTTGAGTGGGTAACTGGGAAAAGGTATGTGTATGCTTTCAACCAAGACCTAAACTGCCTATGGAAGAGGTAGCTACATTTAAAAATAATCCAGTGAGCTGAACTGTGGTACATCACACAATAGAATAGTTGCAATTTTTTGAAATAGTCATGAGAAAGTGTTTTACGTACTGACTTGAAAAAAGTCCTAGGTACCTTGCAGAACAGTGTATATAGTACCATTTGTGGAGAAAGGATGAAGTTAAACATACTTGGCTATGCATATGCATATATATACATGCATGATATATATTTTAGGCAAGTCTATGTCTCAAAGTTCCCTGGAAAAGAGAGTCTCTAGAAACTTCTAATAGTGGTTATTGGTGGGGATTAGAAGTTGAAGCTGGGAGGATGGGACAGCAATGGGAAGAAGACTTTCTAGAACCATTCCTTAATTTTTATGTTTTGAACCCTATAAATATATCACTTATTCAAAGTAGAATTTAATCCATTTTAAAAGTAAAGATTATAAGAAATTGGGTCAGAGGGAATGAAGTCAGATGATCCAGAGCCATGGTTTGCACCCCAGGTGCATGCTGGGAGGTCCAAGGTGCATGCTGGGAGCTCCAAGCTCTCCCACACCCCATGGGAGCAGGGCTGTGGCTTCTACCAAATGCCCACAGCCATCCACAGGCGGGTAGACCAGTTTCTCGGGAGAAGCACAATTGTGCAGGTATAGACAGGGCCATGGGTCCCATGGCCCCCACATAATCACAGGGTCGTGGTGCCCCCAGGAACTGCTGGGATCATCACCTCCCTCCCTCCCTCCATCCCTCCCTCCCTCTGGAGGGCTGAGCATTCTCAGACCCCAGGGCAGAGAGGCTGGGTGATGTCACACAGTTAAGGAAGCACTTAGCTTCCTCTTAGTACCAACTCCTTCCCCATCGGATCCAAGACACTATTCCAGCAGGAGAGGAGATGCTGGTTCCAGCCTAAAAGACTGAGTTCCGGGGGTCGTGGGACTCCCCCAGGCCCCTGTCCTTCAGTTGGTCCTTCCAGAGAGCTTCACTGTCACCAGGCAATTGGCAACCTGGATGCTTCTAAAAGACCCTGTAGCAGATAAGCATGTGGCTATAACATTTTTTACTTCACAATCAATGTCAGTCACCACAATAGTCATTCCAGCCTTTAACCCTGACAGTTTTGGAACTGTTCTCCTCAGAGACAAATTTCCCCTTAGGAATTAATCAGTATTAATGAAAACTGCAACCAAAGGAGAGAAAAGTGAGTGCTAGGCTAGGCTGTGAGGCGCCTGCTTGGCTGCATTTTAGAAGCAGCCCATCCTTGCTGGAGGAGCAGTGAGACAGACTGTGACATGATTCTTGGCCAGAATGGCAGACAGCCAGTGTGCTGTCAGACTCCGGGTCCCGGCCACGCCTTCTAAAACTGCCAAAACTGTGCTTTAAAAAAAAAGCTTTGAGTACTGGGGCTTGTGGTCAGATGGCACTGTCCAGATACCAGCTTAGCTGTGGGCAGATGTAGATACCCTACAGCAGTGATCTGCAAACTGCTGCTCGCTCTGTTGAATAATGAGTTTGCCGACCACTGAGCTAAACTCTCGATTCCAATAATTACAGGCTGTTGCTGTTCCTGTAATTAAGCCCCTATCCCAGTGGTTGGCAAATTCATTAGTCAACAGAGTGGCAAACCGCAGCTAACAAGCCACAGTTTGCCGACCACTGCCCTCCAGCATCAACGCAGGACTCACCCTTGGCCCCTGCACTGGTCGGCTTGTGCAGCCCAGTCAGCAAGAAAGCCCGGCCTCCCAGCATCTGGGAGCAGAGGCCGGAGGAGTCCCTCAGGGACACACTTCCAGGTGTGAGTCTGCAGCTTCGATGCTCACTGCTTGGCAACTAAAATATCAGGCATCCGTCACCAGTACAACATCTTCAGCCTATCCACTGCTGGTTTCAGCAGCCTGGATTTCCTTGACAACAATTCACATGACGATGTTTATCTGTTACTGTGAAGAAAGGGATCAGAGGTGATGGAGGACTGCAATCTTGAATTGCAGCAGTTTTCAACCCTCCTCACAGAACAGTGTCCGTAGCAAGCAAATCATAGACCAAGAGAAGAGAGGCGCAGAGGGCAGGGCTTAGAGAACATTCAGTCAGAGGAGGTGTCCAACACGGAGCTGGTAACTTTGCAAAACCACAACATGAGTAATGGAATGATGGTATTGTTCTGGGCTGAATGGTGTCCGCCCAAAATGCATATGGTGAAGCCCTGACTCCCGGCACCCCAAGATGTGATTGTGCTTGGAGGAGGGGTCTTTGAGGAGATTTGGTGGAAAAGAGGCAGTTAGAGTGGGCGCTAATGCAATCTGACTGGGGTCCTATGAGGAGAGGAGATCAGGACACAGACACACCGAGGATGGCCACGTGAGGGCACAGGGAGAAGCTGGCCATCTGCTAGCCAAGGAGAGAGGCCTCAGGAGGAACCCACCCTGCCAACACTCTGATCTGGGACTTCCAGCCTCCAGACTGTGAGAGAGTAAATTCTGTTGCTTAGGCCGCCCCGTCTGTGGTACCTTGTTATGGAGGCTTTAGCAACTAACACAGGAACGTTATCCACACAACCAACCCCTTTTAAAAGCCAGGGAGGATGTAAACACATCTATGGTATAAGTTAACCAGTAGGTGTTTCTTTTAAGTTAAAGAAGAAGAAGAAAAGAAAAAAAACACAGAAATATTAAACTATGAGGTCCTTTCTCCTCTCGTTGCCAGTCCCATTGGCATTTTGATCGTACTGCTCTTGATCGTACTAGCAAAAACAAGCCGAGTTGGCGTCTAACTGTAAATCGCACAGATCTTATTTATAGATAGCGAGGCTGCTATCTCCACGGTGAGCCGCACGCAGGGTGCGGTGTCCCCCCCCCCTCGCCTCCAGGAAGAGAAAGCCAGCCACCATTTCCTGTGTCAGCAGGAGACTCTATGAATAGTGCCCTCGCTGCTGAGCGCGTGTGCATGTGAAGTGGGAAATGTCAATGGTCCGACCATAGTATCCGTGTTCCGGGCCTGTGCGCAGCTAACGCTCGCATGTCATATGCACAGGCTGAGTCCGTTCGACCTGGTTACCACCCACAGGAGTTTACAGCTCGAGACGGGACAGGCAACATCGTGGAAAGAGAAGGTACAAGCTGCAGGCGGTGTAAGCAATGCATTGACTAAAGCAAGACACCACGAGAGCGATGCATGGTCCAAGGCATGTGGTCCATGGGGGTGGAAGCAGGCAAGCTGAGGAGCTGGGTGGTTGAGATGCAGGACAGGTGCCCTGAGATGCTGCCGGCTCTGTTCCTCCTCAGGACCTCAGGATGGAAGCTCGGGAGCTAGCGGTTTGATGAGAACTCGGGGCTCTGAGGCCTCCATAAGAGAAATGCAAACTCTACAAACAGGCCAATAAGTAGGAACACACCACGTTTGTGATTGGAAAGAATGAATCATGTGAACATAGTGACGCCTCCTGGAGTCATTTCCAGGTTTTAAAAAATTCCAGGGAAAATCCCAGTGGTGCTGTTTTCTGGAACTTCAGTGGACAGCTGAAAAGTTTATCTGGAAGAATAAACAGGAGAGATACACAGAGGAAACTTGGGAAAATAAAAATAATCAGAGTAGTTCCCCTACCAGATGTTAAAACTGTGTGACAAATCTCTAATATGGTTTTGGCTGGAGGGAAAAAGAAAACACAGATCAGTGAGACAAAACAGCTAATATATCAGTATACATGAGATATTAGGAAGTTTGCATCTAATAGCTACATCAGAAACAGGGGAATAGCCTGGCCGGTGCGGTTCAGTGGTTGAACATCGACCAAGGAACCAACAGATCACCAGTTCAATTCCAGGTCAGGGCACATGCCTAGGTTGTGGGCTCAAGGCAGCTGATCTATGAAATTCTCTCTCATTGATGTTTCTATTGATATCTCTCTATCTATCTCCCATCATCTCTCTCTAAAAATCAATTTTTAAAACATATTTAAAGAAAATAAGTAGGGAAAGAAATGGGTGTAAAGTAAATGGTATTTTACATGACTTCACATCATACACTGAAATCAATTCCTGGCAAAGCTAATTATTTAAATTATTTAAAAATAGAAGGCAGTTTAAATAGTGTATTTCTGATTTCTGGACTCTCTGGGAGAGCTTTGAAAGCACATGAGGGGTGGAAGAGCTTTGAAAGCACATTTAGATCTGTCTCTCTTTTTCTTAAACATTTTTTTATTTTTTTGTTTATTTGTTTTTGTTCATCCTTACCCAAGGATGATTTTCCATTAATTTTTGTTTTTGTTTTTAGAGAGAGAATGGAATGGAGGGAGAGAAAGAAACATCAATGTGAGAGAGACACATCAATGGGTTGCCTGCACAAGTGCCTGGGTTGCAACCAAGCCTGCAACTAAGGTTTGTGCCCTTGACTAGAATGACATGGTTGTCCCTCTGGGAGTGTCACTGTCCTAGTCACCTCTTCTTATAAGGCCCACCCTAATGACCTCATTTTATCTTAATTGCCTCTTTAAAGACCTGCTATCTCCAAATAGTGTCATATTCTGAGGTCCCAAAGATCCAGGACTTCAACTTAGAGGTCTGGTGACCGGGTGGCGATATGGTGACAAATGGCCACCATTTCCTTGGGATCTTTTATGTGCTGAGCATTGAGCTCTTTGAGCTCATCCTTTCGCTTGCCTCCGCCATGACCGTGTACCTTCCTGTGTACCTATCTGAGCGTGTACCTTCCTGTGCGTGTGGGAGTCATCCTGACGCGGGGCCTCGTCTCCTCTCCCACAGGACGTACACCTTCAGTCTGGCCCTGGACCCGAACCTCAGGAAGGACGCTGAAGCCAGCAGCAGACGGAACGGGGAGCTCCTTCCCCCGCCGCGGCCAAGGAGCGCAGGCAGCCTGCAGGCCTTACAGGTGAGGGGGCCCTTCATATGAAGTCTGAGGAGACACCGCCTCCCAGGTGTGGCTTTTGTTCTATGGACACATAGCCCCCTGCTTCCCGGGGTAAAGCACTTCAGGGTGGGGTGGCAGGAGGCCCTCCCCTTCGGGGCTGAGGTACCATGCTGCTCTGTCACCTGTGGAAAGGGTAAACTCCCCCCACCCCACCCCCACACATATACATTGTGGCTATGAACCGGCCTGTGCTCCAGAAGTGCCTGCTGAGTCTGCAGAGTCTGCAAGAACAGGGAGCACATGGCTGTAACTCACCAAGACATCAAGACGCTAGGACACAGCGCAGGGAAGGGACAGGGACACAGCCCTGCCTGGAATCTAGTACTCTCCCCCGATTCTCTCCTGACAAGCTGCGTGACCCTGATGAAGTCCCCTCCCTCTTAGGCCCCAAAAGATAGAGCTTCTGAGCTTTCAAATCAGGGAGGTAGGGAGGTGACAGGGGACGATGGCAGCCTCAGGACCTGGGTCCGGGGCACAGCAAGGGCGTCTGATCCCACCACCTGCATGGGGCGCATCAGGGGTGAAGGTCACGGGCAGGGAGGGCCCCCAAGGAGCAGGCAGCATCCAGCCTTCCCTATGGGGAACCCCGGGACTGGGCAACACCTCAGCTGGCCCCTGGCCAGTTCCTCTCCAGCGCACATGCCTCTGTGGCTTGAGTGAGCAGTCCCTCCACGCCCCCGTTCTGTGCCACACCCATTCCTTCAGGCTCTCATTCCAGCCACTACCACCCCAATCAGCACTCCGTCCCCAATTTACAGATCTGAAGACTGAGGCCTGCAGAGGCTGGGAGGCTGTGGGAGTGCAGACATCTAAACGCTCCCCACATGGGGCCGTTTCAAGAATTACATGAGACGGGATGTCCCTTGTCCACTGCAGGCCAGGCCCTGGGGGCTCAGAGACTGGCCCTCTGGGCAGGGCCACAGCCTCTGGCTCACTCCTGTATCCCAGAGCCTGGCTCAGGCACAGCCCATAAGTCTCATGGGATAAACCATGGAATGACCTATACGGGCCTTGATCAGGACTCCCATCTGAATCACCCTCAATCCCAAACTCCATCCCCAAGCACCCATCAGTCCCCTGGAGGCTACCTCCAGGTTGGGGTGGGCTCAATTCAGACAAAAGCTGAGCACAAAACGCTGGGGAGGCGGCCCTATATCGCCGTTAGCCAGGTCTTCGGTTAGAGAGAATGGACCAGGGTAGAGAATGGACCAGGGCAGAGGAACCTGCCAGCCACAGAGACAAAAACGGGGCTCTCACCCCCCCAAACTGCCCGGGCTCTGGAAGGCGCAGTGGAGCCTGGACTCGTGAGAGCAGACATAAGCCAGGAGCCACCCCAAGGCTGTGACCCCCTTTCCAGGCAGGGAGAAGCTGGAATGAAAGACATGCCATCACTCAGCCTGTGTCCAAACTCCCTGGTGCTTTAAATGCATGGGAACCCAGCATGCTCCTCCTGAGGACTGAGCCCTCTCACCTGGTCTGCGGGTACCCCTTCCAAACAGCAAGAAAAGACAACTGTGGCATCCAGTGCGGCAAAATGGACATGTAGTGGCTGAATAATGTCCTCAGTGATAGGAGGAGCCCTCCCCTGTAACCTCTGAGGGAGCGTGGCCTCTCAGACATCCTGATTTTAAATTTCTATTACCCAGAACTCTGAGGGAATACATTTATTTTGTTTAAAGCCACCTAATGGGTGGCACTTGGTTGCAGCAGCCACAGGACACACATACAGCACCTCATGACTAAAGAGTCTGCAGAACCATGTTGTTCCGTGGACTCCAGGGCTTGGTCATTCCATTCCCCACGGACCTTTCACTGTATCTAAATATTCTTGTTGCTAACCTCTGCTTTTCAAAATTAAAGTGATCCAGAATCTTCTAGGGGGGAAAATGCCCCGAGTCCAAAACCTCATCCCAACGCCCGAGAGTACTTCGAGATGGTCAGTAAGCAGACAGGATGTCCCTTGCAAACTATTTGCGGATCAAGTAGGGATGAGGGAACGGGACAGGATATTTTAATATCCATTCTTGGAGGGGAGAGGCATCCTGATATCAGTATAGGCAACCCCAGAGCCACCATATTCAAATTTTTAAGACAGCAAGACAGCTTTCCACCTGGAGCTCTGCCCTAGGAGGTGGGTGTTGGCATCCAGAACCAAACAGCTGCACACTCCAGCAAAAGATGATCATGGCACTTCCTTTGCCTGGTCCCTAGGCCCGGGGTGATGGTATTAACAGGCGGGGCCTTTGGGAGGTGCTCCCATCCTGAGGGTGAAGCCCTTGTGAGTGGGATTAGTGCCCTTATAAAGGAGACCCAGTAGCTCCCTTGCCCCTTCCACCACGTGAGGACACAGAGAGAAGTCTGCAACTAAGAGGAGGGCCCTCACTCAACCACACTGGCACCCTGATCTCTGGCACTTCCTGCCTCCAGAACTGGGAGAAATAAATGTCTGTTGCTTATAAGGCACCCATGTGTGGTGTTCTGTTAGAGCAGCTGGAATGGACTAAAACAAGGGATAAGGACTTGGAAGAGACCAAAGAGTAGAGAAGTTAATGTGCTATGATTTGGGCATTTTGTGTGTTGTGGTTTTTGTTTGTTTGTGTGTGTGTGTGTGTGTGTGTGTGTGTTTTCATTTCCTTTACTAGAGGCCTGGTGCACGAACTCATGCATCAGTGGGGTCCCTTAGCCTGGCCTGTGGGAATTGGGCTGAAACTGGCTCTCCGATACCTGCTGAGGAGTCCTGGATTACGAGAGGGCACAGGCCAGGCTGAGGGACCTCACTGATGCACGATTGGGGCTGGGAAGGGATGTGGGAGGCCAGCAGGGGGCGGAGGGGATCAAAAGAGGCCTCCAGGGCGTGTCTTGCTCAGTCCCAATTGGCTGGAACCCAGCAGCAACTTAACTTACTGGTCAGAGCATCTGCACCCAGATGGTCAGTGCATGTTACACCAAGTGGTTGAGTGGCCTTAGCATATCATTAGCATATTACTCTTTGATTGGTTGAATGGACAACCAGACAGCCAGACACTTGGCATATTAGGCTTTTATTATATAGGATAATGTGACAATTAAAGAAATTAAAGACATTGGCATCTGCAATTCTGAGTCCCCTTTCCCCGGGGTGACGGTGGTAAAATGGTCTGTAGCTACAGAACAGGAAGGAAGGCACCCATTCCCAGGCCAGCTGTTGGATGGCTTCTTTTTTTGAAGAAGTCTTTTAACGCAGATGTTACATTGCACATTTTAACAATGTTTGGCTATACTATTGAACGGATGGATATATTTTTTAACATGTCAGTTGCTTACCCCAACTTTTCTTCCCTTCCTCTGTCGCAGGCCGCCATCGTGAGGAGAAGCGTGCTGGTGGTGCGCCACGGGGAGAGAGTGGACCAAATCTTCGGGAAGTCGTGGCTGCAGCAGTGCTCCACTCCTGACGGTGGGTCAAGGCCGGGCTGCCTCTAACCACAGAAACAAGATGAATCTAACAACTGAGACCACTTTCCGGGTTTCTGAGCTAAATTCCCCAGGGTACCATGCTTTAGAACGATTCCGTATCATTGTACACAGGGAATGGAGGCATGCTACATCTTCCCTACATGGGAGCATTTGAGAGTGTGCGCTGTCTATGAGTCCCTTAGGTCAAATGCGTTGTGGAAGATGGAGGAATGGCTTCAATAGTAAGCAAGTCCACTGATGTGACATGTGGCCAGTCCGCTTACTTCCGCAGCATGCACAGTATTTGGTTAGTGAGTGCAGCCCTGACTTCCAAGCAAGTCACCCTGGCCTGCGGTCTCTGAACCCTCATGTGACGACATGTACCCTATCTCACAACCAAATCGCTCAATCTCTCCCAGCTGGTCTTCACTGTGGTGGTCATTTCCCTATCATGTGTGGCTATCTTTCTCAACCAAACGACATATTTTTTAACGTGTCTCTTGCTCACCCCAACTGTACCCCTCTGGATGCCAAGACTAAGAATAGTGCTTAGAAATACAACATACCCACAAGCTGATCTTCATACTGAGGATTCATATCTGTATCAGTGTTTGTCCCCCACCATTGCTAAGCCAAGGCTAACTGCATACATGAAGGTATCGAATGAACACAGTGATAAAATCCGTTCATAGAAGCTGGGTTGTCCAGCCCTTGGGGATCCCTCCAGGAGCCCAGCAGGCCAAGAAAAGAGGAAGTGAATGAGAAAAACCATTGGCAGATGACCAGCACACACCAGGAAAATTCTGAGTGGATGGCATGATGACTGGATATACCTCTAAAAACCCACAGAGGTAGTGCTGTGGTTGTTTCTACAAAACAAGGTCAAGTAGAGACACCAAGTTTTGGGGAAGAAACAATAGAACAAGAGGTGGGAATGAGGAAGAATATTTGGTCATCTAGACAAAAGATCAAGTCACCTATTAGGGAAAATATTTTAAGGCACTGAAATTACCAGCTTAAAGGAAACTGCTGGTGGATCTTTATACAGGATAAAGAACCCCTTGATAAAGTGAGTGCTCACAGTCTAATTCATCTGCATGTCACAGACAGACCATTTAATCAATAATAACAGGGCAACAGAAACCGGTTTGGCTCAGTGGATAGAGCGTTGGCCTGAGGACTGAAAGGTCCCAGGTTCGATTCCGGTCAAGGGCATGTACCTTGGTTGCGGGCACATCCCCAGTAGGGGGTGTGCAAGAGGCAGCTGATTGATGATTCTCTCATCTATGTTTCTAACTCTCTATCCCTCTCTCTTCCTCTCTGTAAAATAATAATAATAATAATAATAATAACAACAACAACAACAACAACAACAACAACAACAAGGCATTTGGGGGCGCTGCTGGCCTCTGCTCTGATTCCAGGTGAGGTCTGGGTGTGAATGGTGTCCTCTGTAGGATAATGGATTTTTACTGACTTCTTACTGGAGCCAGGTTCTGAGCATTATCTCAATGATGTATCGAAACACTCCCCCTTTAACTGATAAAGAAGATTAAGTCGTTTGCTTCTAATCACACAACCAGTACCTGGTGCTGCCAGGATTTGCACCTGACTGTCAGGTTAAAGCTCAGATTCAAACTCTAAGTCAGTGTTTCCCAAACTTCTCTCATGATGAGAATCACCTGGTGGAGTTGTTAAACTACAGATTCCTGAATCCCAACTAAGAGGTGCGAAACTAGAATTTTTGGGAACATTTAGGTAAAATTGTATTCTCAACTAGTGCTCTAAGTGCTTTAGTCTAGCACTTCTGAGTTGGGATTCAGGAATCTGTGGTTTAACAACTCCACCAGGTGATTCTCATCATGAGAGAAGTTTGGGAAACACTGCACTAAGTGAACCCAGGATGGGGGATACGGGGGAGGCAGGAGTCCAAGGAATCCCCTCGATTCCAGTCTCGCCTCGAGTGATTGACTGAATAATGCACAACGCAGGGCCCCTCGGGCCATATGGATTCTGTCCCCATCGGCAATATGACACCCTTAAGCTATAGGAATGGTCACATTTCACTAATTAATTCATGCCAACTTGAGATTCTTATCCAATTGAGCTCTATCAGTCATGGGGATACTTGGCTCTTAATCAGGAAAATTGCTGAGCAAATCTTCTGGGAGGGTCAGGAGAGGACAGAGAGGGTCTGGGGACTCAGGGGCTGAAACCTGAGTTTCTGTGTTTGAGGCGATGTGTGCACATTAAAGCAGCATCTTCTCCTCGAATTGAATCCACACCACAGAACACATTTGATAGAAAACACGGTAATAACAGTGCTAACCATGCTTCTCGCGTGGGCCTTGATCTTGGGAGTGTCGTGGCACTAACTCGAGGGAACCAAACGTCCAGTGCGTGTTTGTGCTCTAGGGAAGTACTACCGGCCAGACCTGAACTTCCCCTGCAGCCTGCCCCAGCGGAGCAATGGCATCAAAGGCTTTGAGAACGACCCGCCGTTATCATCCTGTGGAATTTTCCAGTCCAGAACAGCAGGTATGTTGGAGGGTCGTTCTATTAGGAACAGTAACAATAATCATGGCAATGGATATCATTCATGAGTAGTGAGCCCTTGCTGCATGCCCTTTGAGACCCGTAGTAGCATGATCCCCACTCCGCTGATGAGGAAGCTGGGGCACAGAGAGGTTAAGTAAGTCACCCAAGGTCTCACAGCGAGTAAGCGGAAGCTCAGCGATTTGACTCAGAAACTTTGGGAGGAATGAAAGGTATGTAAAGAACAGTGAGGGGAGGGAAAATATTTTTTTTATATACGTATATTTTATTGATTTTTTTACAGAGAGTGAAAGGGAGAGAGATAGCTAGAAACGTCGATGAGAGAGAAACATCAACCAGCCACCTCCTGCACACCCCCTACCGGGGACGTGCCCGCGACCAAGGTACATGCCCTTGACCAGAATCGAACCTGGGACCTTTCAGTCCGCAGGCCGACTCTCTACCGCTGAGCCAAACCGATTTCGGCAAGGGAAGGGAAAATATTAATGACCACTGTGTGCACTAAGAATGTCATTTAAAAAAAAAAATGCAGCCAAAACCGGTTTGGCTCAGTGGATAGAGCGTCAGCTTGGGGACTGAAGGGTCCTGGGTTCGATTCCAGTCAAGGGCATGTACCTTGATTGCGGGCACATCCCCAGTAGGGGGTATGCAAGAGGCAGCTAATCGATGACTCTCTCTCATTGATGTTTCTAACTCTCTATCTCTCTCCTTTCCTCTCTGTACAAAATCAATAAAAAATATATTATTTTTTTTAAAAAAAGCACATCCCCTCTTTGATTTTATTTCAAAATCTGTCACTTCGGGCTTTTTTTTTTTTTTTTATGTCTGGGGTTCTGGTTTCACCTGATGGATGTTTTAGAAGAGGCTGTTAAGTTCACCTGGTCTTCATTCTATGAATTAAGAAACTCAAGTCACACAGCTGGCAAACAGAAGCAACCCACGGGGGCCTGGTGTTCCTGCCCCCTCCCCCGCCCCATGGTGTGACGTAAACATTTAGTCCCTGGCGATCTGGGCAGGCAGGGCAGCTCTGTAGCATTTGCCGAGTTTAGTAGTGGAAATAGTGTGCTCACACCAAGGCCGGTGTCAGGATCGCTGATGGGAGGTCACTTAACGTGGAGTTGGGGTTATGACACAGTTGGGACTCCCACGGATCAGTGTGACCTGCTCCCCACAGCTCTCCCTGCCTGGGCTCCTTCACCTGCCGCACACTGCGGTGTAGGAGTGTGTTTCTGTGTGTGTGTGTGTGTGTGTGTGTGTGTATATGTGTAGATTCCTTGTGGGGGGGGGGGTGTACTGTGTGAGGGTATGTGTGTCCTTTCTGTAAAATACCTTTGCAGCTCTGTGTTTCATTCCTAAATTCTCGCCCGGATGTTTTCACAACCTGAGTGTTTGCACAGACTCCATGTGTATATTTGGGAGTGTCTGTGAACGGGTGTATATGTGGGCAGTTGTCACCCTCTGTACACATGTCCTGGGACTGCCATACAAAGCACCACAGTTCCAGTGGCTTCATCCACAGAAGTTGATCGTCTCACAGTTGTGGAGAGATCACGGTGTGGCAGGCTTGTTCCTCCTGAGGCAGTGAGGGAAGGACTGCTCCAGGCTTCACTCCTTGGCCCGTAGACGGCCGTCTTCTCCCTGTGTCTTCACGTCGCCTCCCTCCATGCGTGTCTGTCTCTGTGTCCAATTTCCCCCTTGTTATAAGGACAGCACTCAGGTTGCATTAGAGCTGCCCCCATAACCTCTTTGTAACTTGGGCACTTGTGTAAAGACCCCATCCCCAAAGGAAGCCACATTCTGAGGCACTGGGGGTTAGGACTCCAAATATGAATTGGGGGGGGGGGGGGCACAATTCAGCCCATGCCAACAGCATCTACTAAAAATCCTGACTTTAGAGCATCTACTGAGGAGGTCCCCTTCTTTGCTAAGGATGAGGCCCTCTGATGCTGCAAGAGGATGTGTGGTTCATAGTGTGCTTCCATTACCTCAGGTTTCCGTCGCTTCAGAACAAGCTACCAGGAACTTAACAAGCACCCACTGGTTGGCTCTCAGTGCTGTAGATCAGATACACAGACAGACATTGGCTGGCTTCTCTGCTCAGGGCGTCAGAGCCTGAAGTCAAGGTGTTACTGAGCTGAGTTCCCATGTGGAGGCTCTTGGAAGCAGTTTCTATCTCATCAGGCTGTGGGAGAAGTCAGTTCCTTGTGGTTGTAGGACTGAGATTCTCATTCCACTGTCAGCACAGGGCCACACTCAGTTCCGAGAGACCACCCACATTTCTTGCTATGTCGGCCCCTCCCTCTTGGAAGCCAGTGGTAGAGTTTCTTACACGTTCAATCCCTCTGCCTTTAAATCTCTCTGACTCCTATGGCAGCCGGAGAAAATCTTTGCTTTTACTGGGTCAGGCCATCTATAGTGATCTCCTTTCTCCCACAGAATATAATATAGTCACAAGAGTGCCCTCTCACCCTATCCCCAGGCTCCGTGTACTTTAGGGAATGCCCAGGGTGTGTACAGCAGGGGGTGGAGATCTTGAAGCCACTTAATTAAGGTCCTGCCTTCCTCAGGTGGTAAGCCTCTGGTCAGAGCTGCCACCGCCGGAAGTTGCAGTTACACAGAGGCATTTCCCACCTGCTTTTTCCAGGAGAAGCCCTACTGGACAGCGGCATCCGAATCACCTCCGTCTTCACCTCCCCGGCCCTCCGCTGTGTGCAGACGGCCAAACACATCCTGGAAGGTGGGTGAGAACTCAGTGAGCTGCTCAGCTTGCCCTGGCTTCTTAGGGCAAAGAGATGAGCAGGGGAGAGAACTGGGTGAGTGTCAATGAATGGCCACATGAGTCCTAGACTGTTATGGACCAGCTCTCTCAGAACTGTCAGCAGGCTCTGAGCCCCTTCAGATTTCCATGCCAGGATTATAACTGAGTACCAGGGCTTGTCATCACACTGTCCATCTATGGCGGTCTGTTAAAAAAAAAAAAAAAAAAAAAAACCTTCTGAGGAGGGGCATTCAGAAAGCCAGAGAGCTAGAAACTGCCTCCTTCCAGATCCAAAAAGCATGACTCCTAGAGCAAGGGACTGGCTGCTGGGAGCTGTCCAGCACCATCAAAGGCTGATGTGTGTCAGAGAGCCCCTGGCAGAGCTGCTGGGCTTGCCCCTTGCAGAGGGAAGCCAGTCCTGCGGGAGGGGCAGCTCTTTGGGGGACCTCAGTTCTGCTTCTTCATCTGGGCCCTCCCTGCCCTCCTTGAGAGGGGAGGAGGGACATGACGTCGTTCACAATGCCGGAGACAGCAAGCCCTCCATGGTGGCAGGACAGAGGGAGAGCAGGTGGACAGGGAAGCCGCGGAGAGGCCCATGTGGAGGAGGGTCTGGCTGCTTCTTTCTCAGAGACACAGGGGCAGGTCCCCAGCTGGCGTGAGAAAGGGGAGGGCCACTGCAGGTTTGGGGAGCTCTGAAGGTATGGAATGTCATCAGGGAGAAGGGCCAGGACTTGGCCTGGAAACAGAGGATGACCGCAGGGCAGCACACAGAGCCCACTGAGGTCAGGGAGCGCTTCACCCCGAAGCCTGTCAGCTGAGCGTGGGGCTTCCTCCGGGCACTGACACGGAGAGTGGGGTCTAACTCCGGGCGGGTTCGGGAAGCGAGTGCAGTGAAGTAAGAGAGGGGAGAGGAGCTGGGGGTGCACACACAAGGACGAGGGTCCTTGACTGTGGGTTGTAAGCCAGGTAAGGTGGGGAGTTAGAGGCCAGGGGAAGTGAATAGTAGAGAAAAAAGGTGAGCTCAGTGGAGTAAAATCCTGGCGGGACCACTGGAGTTGATTTTTATTTTATATGATAAGAATATTATTGCCCTGGCTGGTTTGGCTCAGTGGATAGAGCATTGGCCTGCAGACCAAAGGGTCCCAGGTTCAATTCCAGTCAAGGCCACGTACCTTGGTTATGGGCTCCTCCCCAGCCAGGGTCCTCGTCAGGGCTCATGCAAGAGTCAGCCAATCAATGAATTGGCGTGTTCTCTCACACCGGTGTTTCTTTCTGTCTTTCCCCTCTCTCTTCCAATTTCCTTTTTAAAAAAAGAAATTATTATCATCACTATTAACATGCCTATCTATATGCCTGTTAAAGGGCACACGTTGACACATCTTACACTAATTCAGAAAAAACACGGGTGCTGAGTCTTCTTCATAGGTCTTCAGACTTGACCAACCCGTCTTTCAAACTGACATCCGGGACACTAACATGCTAGACTTTATTTCAATGCCGTGTCCTTGAGCATCCGGATGGACCACTTCCCAAAGTGACCACAGAGCAGTGGCCTACAAGATGTCCTCAAAAGGAAGCATGGCCAACCCCATTTGGCAAACTCTTCTGACTGTTCCTTTGTGTGATGTACTCTCAGTGGACGGGGCCCTGCACAGCTGGGGAGCGCGCAGGGGCCCAGCTCAGCTCACGCTGTTCTAAACCTGCTCAAAAAGAACCCGTTCATGGACATGGGATACATTTTGGGAACTGATTTTATTGCCAGCATTTAAGCTTAATGTAGTTTTTCCCATTTCAGATAAAAGCATTAAGGAAGGTCTATTTTTTTTCCTACTTAAAAAAAGATGGTCTTACTTCATAGGCAATTTGGTCAAAACATAAAATGCTTGGGAAGGGTGAGCTGGGAGGAGTCAAAAAGTCCCAGGAGACAGCTCCCTTCCACATATTGTGCTCAGTCTGTGTGTCTGTCTGTCTGTCAGGAGACACTCCGTGCGCCTAGCACCCTACACGATGAGCTCCATCCTTTTCATGGGTCGTTGGATTGGCCGAGTCCTTATTGGTGGGCTCTCATCCTTGACCCACAGCGAGGCCCAGAGTTGCTCTGGGCAACCAGGAAGGGTACCGGGCTGGGCCTGCTGCTGGTGGTGTGGGGGGACTGGGAGGCTGTCCTTCCCTGGTGGACAGAGGGTCACCACTCCTCGGGTACCTTGCAGCTATCTCGTGGTTTTTGTCTCAGAAACAGCGGAGCCCTGGGTGATCACAAAACAGTATTGGCCAGGAAAAAGTATCACATTCCCGAAAGGTGTTTTAGACCTAGGAAGAGTCTTATTTACAGAAAGCCAAACGGACGCTGAAAATGATGAGTACTTGTTTTCTGCTGACTGCAGAGCTCAAACTGGAGAGAAAAATCAAGATGAGAGTGGAGCCCGGCATCTTTGAATGGACCAAGTGGGAGACGGGGAAGACCACGCCGGCCCTCATGACCCTGGAGGAGCTGAAGGAGGCGAATTTCAACGTCAGCACCGAGTACAGGTATGCGGTGCTCACGGCGTCTGCGCTGGGTTTGCTAATTCTTATTAGAGATGGCAAGGAGGGACCATGGCAACCAGGGCTGTACAGGGTTGGGGGGTGGCGGGGTAGATTGGACTCACCTAGGAATGCTATTAGGGCGAGCGGGGTGCAGGTTTGGTCATGGGAAAAAATAGTGAGAGGGTATCGTGATTCTTGCTAAACTGACCTATCAGGATTCCTGCTAAAGGCAGAGAAGACAGGTCAGACTGGGAGGGGTTTCGGGGAGGGGTTGCTTGGATACCAGGAAGAGGAATCAGATAAGGTGGGGGATTCTTACTAAACTGACTTAGCGGGATTCCTGCAGAATGGACTCTACAGGGACAAGCACTAAAGCCCAAAGTCCGGACCAGTTGAGAAAAGGGCTCCAAGTTTGGTCAAAGAGAGCACCTTCGTTGCTCTCTGCCAGTGGCTGATTGTGCCATCTCAGGCCCCTGTGGTGCTCAGTGGGAATGCACGTGGGCCTGAGCACCAGCCCTTTGCCGGGTTTGAACACACGCTGGAGCCTTGAGCAGAGCCAGCCTGGCGAAGGCATTCCCTCTCCAGTAACCACAGGGCAATCCAGTCCCCCCTCCACCCCACATCCCACCCCCCACCCCCGCCACGCAGGCCAGGGTGGCAGTGCTCGCTCTCTCCCATGCAGGCCCGCGTTCCCCATCGCCTCCCTCCTGCCCGCGGAGAGCTATGACGAGTACGTGCACAGGTGTGCGGTGAGCGTGGAGCAGATCGTCAGCAGCTGCCCGCAGGACGGTGAGTGCCTCCCCGGCCCGCGGTGAGCAGCCCGGGGAGTTGGGGTCTTACCGCTGGGATGGAAACTTGCACCATTTTTAAAAACATATTTTTATTGATTTCAGAGTGGAAAGGAGGGGAAGGGAGGGATAGAAACATCCATGAGGAGAGAGAATCATTGATCGGCTGCCTCCTGCACGCCCCACGCTGGGGATCGAGCCCACAACCTAGGCCTGTGCCCTGACCAGGAATCGAACCATGACCTCCTGGTTCATAGGTCGACGCTCACCCACTGAGCCACGCCAGCCAGGCAGGACCGTTTTTGAACCTGATCATTCTCCAACCTCCCCCTCCCTACTCCCAGCAACAGAGACATCGCTGCCTCTGTGGTAACCAAGCCGTAGACACATATACCCCGCCACGTAGGCCCCGGGACCCCAGTTCTAGGACTGAGAGCCAATAGGACCCAGGACACAAGATCAACACAAACCACCCAAGCCAGACTCTCAGGAAACATAAACTGGGAACCAAACAACCAATGTCAGGACGTGTTTGCACGAGGGTAGGAAAACACATGTGTGTGTCATTGAGACCATTAGAGAAACCTGAATATGGTTTGGAATGTGCAAATATGAGAGAATTTTTGTAAATTCTGTTAGGTGTGAGAACAGTGGGATGGTTGTGTACAAATGCAAAGTCCTTGTCATTTGGAGCTGCAAACTGAGGAACACTGTGGGGCGACATGGTGTTTGTGATGTACCCTAAAATAATCCGGGGGGGGGGGGGGGGTTAGAGAACAGATGATACAAATGGGCTAAATGTGGGCGCCTGTTGGGGCTCCGTGGTAGGTATGTGGGTTCCAGCAGACCCTGCTTTGGGGGTATATTGGAAATGTCATAGTAACAAGCTCAAAGTCAGTTTTATAGAAAGTTAAGCCAGCAAGCATGTCTTGAACACAGCGATGTGTCCAGCATCCGGCACAATACGTGGGCAGTCTAAGTGAAGAAGACACACTCCACCCTCAAGGATTTGGCTGCTGTTGGGGGAGGGGCACAAACATCTGGAATATTAGAAATACTAATGACACGAAGAAGAGTCTCAGAGTCCGAGGAGGCCACCAGCCGCATCCCACCCTGTGTTCTTCCCATCCTGTCCCTCACCACAGAGATGCTCTGGGGACGAAGAATTTCTGACCAGGAACATGGGCAGCCGCTGAGCGCCGGGCCCCTCCCGGAGGGTCCCTGAGACGTCTACAGGATGAGACCCCACACCTGGCCGAATCCTGCACCAAACACGCCTGGCCTTGAGGACGGTCACATTGCCTGTCCTGACTGGTCTGAACCCGGGGAACGTACTTCGGGAAACCAGTGACATCTGATTAATTATCAAACACCTGTTGTCACGGTTATTGCCACAGGGCATCAGAGGACAGAAAGTGACTGGGCCTTTCACTGAGTTTTCGGGGTCGCTCCCCGGCCCTCCCCTCTCTGGCTGCCCCAGTTCAAGCCTCCGCCACCAGCTCAGTGTCAGCGCCAGGGATGCGCCCCCTTCGGGGACTCAGCAGCAGGACCACTGCTCCGCCGGCTCCGGTGTCCACGGAGCACCGTGTGTGCTGCTCCGCAGGGAACGAGCTCCTCCGGGGCTCTGAGGAGGCTTGGGAGGTGGATGCGCCCCAGGAGGAGGGGCACGTGAGCAAGGCAGGAGGGTGCGAGGTATGGAAGCAACACAAAGTCCAGCTGGGCTGGAGGTAAACGCTAGTAACCTAGCGATCCCCTGGCACCGGAGGGCCCTTCGCAGGCATGACCTGCTACCTCCTCGCTTTCCCGGGGCGTCTGAGATACCACCTCCCGGACAGCACCCTAACAACCGCCCATGAGAGCGGAGGCCGAAGATCTGAGAGTGAAATTAACAGGAAATACCGCAGGAAGAAAAGATCGGAGCTTCCGTCTGGGCTCTCACTGGAGGATTTATAGTCACTTAGGAGGGACTGCTCTTGAGTCAGCCTGGCCTTCCAAGGGAGCTGTGCTGGATTTCCTCCTCTAGGTGGAGCCTGTGAGTCTGGCCCAGACACCTCCCTGACTCCCCTGGGGGTGAACCTCCCCCCAGCTCTGCTTGGTCAAGGCTCTGGCTCCCAGATCCTGTCCCCGGAGGGAGACTCACTCAGCCATTGGACGCTGGATGTCCTTACCCACAGTGAGTCATCAGCAGGCTCATCCTGATCAGCCAGCTGATAATTTTAAAGCTGATCGGATCAGCCAGCTGATAATTCTCAAGCTAATCAGATGAGGCTGGGCAGCAGCCACCACTCTATCCTAAAGAGGTGGCCACTCAGATCCCGCTGGTGGCTCAGATCAAGGCGAGGTCCCACCCCAGCCCCTGCCTGAGGATGGGATACCCTCCGAAGAACCAGCCATGTACAGTGAGAGGGGGGACTGCATTACCGAGCAATTCCCAACCACATCTGTTCTGCCCCTGGGGCCTCTCAGGGTGTGGGGGCACCAGGAGGTAGCTCACCCCAGGAACTGTGGGGACCTCCAGTCTGACTAAGGCGCTCCCGGTGCCTGCTTGGACCTTGAGCTGCTCTTCTTCCCAGCAGGCGTCATCCTGATCGTGGGCCACGGCTCGGCGCTGGACTCCTGCACCCGCCCGCTGCTCCGGCTGCCGCCCCGGGACTGCGCGGACTTCGCCCAGCTGGTGCGAAAGGTACGTGCCCGCCCTTCCTCTCCGGACCGCGGAGCCAGGCAGCCAAGGACACAGGGTCATCCCAGGCCCCTCTCAGAATGAAAACCAGCATCCTGACGCCCAGGGCAGCAGGGCCCCCGGCCCCTGAGAGTGTGCCCCCAGCTCTTATGCACAGGGCAGCCTTGGCAGGGGGCTGCGGGAGAGGCTGTCGTCTTGATCATCAGCCTGGCAACTTTGGTCATTTGCTGCCAAGATAATATTTTTTTAATTAAAAAATAATAATAATAAGCCCTGGCCGGTTTGGCTCAGTGGATAGAGCGTCAGCCTGCGGACCGAAGAGTCCCCGGTTCGATTCTAGTCAAGGGCATATGCCTGGGTTTCCGGCTCTATCCCCAGTAGGGGGCACCCAGGAGGCAGCCGATCAATGATTCTCTCTCATCATTGATGTTTCTATTTCTCCCTCCTCCCTTCCTCTCCGAAATCAATAAAGAAATATTTTTTAAAATATATTTTATTGATTTTTTTTACAGAGGAAGGGAGAGGGAGAGAGAGTTAGAAACGTCGATGAGAGAGAAACATCAATCAACTGCCTCCTGCACACCTCCCACTGGGGATGTGCCTGCAACCAAGGTACATGCCCTTTAATCAAACCTGGGACCTTTCAGTCCGCAGGCTGATGCTCTATCTACTAAGCCAAGCTGGTTAGGGCAAGAAAGAAAATATTTTTAGTAAGACACAGGGCTTTTTTTTTTTTTTTTTTTTTCCAGAAAGGAAAGGAGAGAGATATTGAGTTAGAAATACCGATGAGAGAGAATCATTCATCAGCTGCCTCCTGCACAACTCCCACCAGGGATGTGCTCGCAACCAATCAAGGTTCGATGCCCTTGACCGGAATCGAACCCGGGACCTTCCAGTCCACAGGCCGATGCTCTCTCCACTGAGCCAAACTGGTTTCAGCTAAGACACAGGGCTTTTTAAACATCAGTCCACATGATAATTTCTCGAAACTCCAGGAGTTGAGCAGAAGGTCCAGTAAGAAGGACAGCCACTGGGCTGGCTTGCTCTGGTGACTCTTGCCTGGGGGGCCGTCCAACCATGGGACACACAGAGCTTGCTGTAGCTGCCAGAGTGCTCGGGGCTGGCTGTGCTGTGCAAACAGCTCTGGAAAATTCAACCCGGTGACAGACGTACTGTGGATAATGGGTACTTGAACCAACTTGTGGGACGTCACCAATGAGGCAAATGTTGCTTTTATCCAGTTAGTGGGATGGGCAGACTCAGAAACTGAGACCCCACCCCCTGCCCCTGCCCTCAAAATCTTCTCAGGGTCAGATGTGCCTTCTGCCCTTGTCTTCGTATCAAATTGACCCAGTAATTGACCAGTGAGTGGCCTTGAGACTGGAGTACAGCGTGTAGACAATCACTGTGATAGGAGATGAGTCCTGGACATGATTCCATCACAGAATTATCACAGCACCACCGGCCATGGCTTGTTTGTCCAGGTGTGGGCAGCAAGGGGCCTGGGGCTGCAGAGGAGTCCAACCCCATGGGCTCTGTGCCTGCCCACGCCACTGGGCTTTCTGAGCCCCTCTCTACCCTGCTCTCTCACCTGGGAAGCATCTAAGAGTTTCTGCACCTGAGACGCCGGGTCCTCTGTGCCGGGGGTGCCCTCTCCCTGTCCCAGTTCCCCCTGGACAGAGTAGAAACTTGTCCAGGTGGCGTTTCCAGGTGTCTCCAGCTGGTATTTCCCAAGCATGACCCAGACATGTCTGAGCTTCCTGGTTCCAGGACCACCCGCTGACCGTTGTCCACATGCATGGTCTGAGCCCCCTCGGGCCACACTGGGACACGTCTGTATAGATTTTTCTCAGGTTCTCCTGGAGAAAAGTGTTGCTCTGGCTCCTGCAATCATCACTGTCCCCTCCGTGTGCTCCCGTGCCTCCCCATGGACCACTGCAACCTTCCCACAGCCCCGGGTCCCCTGGGGTCCCGTCTCCACGCAGACAGCTGCGCTGCACACACAGGCGCTGGTGAGCATGGCGTGTCGCTGCTGCTCCAAACGCCATTCCTTTTGGTGACCGTATCCCCACCCACACCCCCGCCCTTGGCCTCCCTTCTGGAGATGCCGGCCTCGACTTTCCAAATTCCCATAACTCTCTTTGTTCTGTAAATACATTTTTATTGATTTCAGAGAGGAAGGGAGAAGGGGAGAGAGATAGAAACATCAGTGAGGAGAGAATCACTGATCAACTGCCTCCTGCACACTCTCTCCTGGGGAGCGAGCCTGCAACCCAGACATGTGCCCTGACTGGGAATGGAATCATGACTTCCTGGTTTATAGGTCAATGCTCAACCACTGAGCAACACTTGCCAGGCCTGTAACTTTCTTATGCTGATGATTTGATGTCCACCTCATTACCCACCCATCCCACCCCACCCCAAAAAAAAAGCTGCTCTCAAGTGTCAGAAATTTATCAAGGAATTCTGCCCAATCCTGGGCCTCTAGTCAGGGCAACAGGAAACAGACCCTCTGCTGCTCACCCCTTCCCACCCCTCCCACCCTCCCCCAGGCTCTCTAAGCAGAAGGAGGAAATCATCCCTGAGTCAACACCAGCCTCCACTTAGACCCCCCACCACTCCCGTGTGGTGGCATTTTTGCAAATTCTGTGTGACCCAGGAACTTCTAGACACGAAAAGGGGAGAGTAAGGAAAGGAAAGCAGGTAAGCACAAAGGCCTTCAAGTCACAGATCTACCCCCACACATTCGTTTAACAGACAAAGGAATTGTTTCAAGTTCCACTTGGTCACTTTTGTCCCCCCCAGGGTCTGAAAACTCAACACCTGGACCTCTCTGTGATGCTCAATGTGAGGCTTTAAGCCAGTCTTCAAACAGCAGGCGGGGTGCTCAGCCTTGGCACTGGCACCCTAGACACGTGGGCGGGGTAACACTTTGTTTGGGGGTGTCCGATGCATTGTGGGATGCCAGCAGCACCCCTGACCTCCACCCACTGGATAACCTACACCCACTGGATAGCATCCCCAGTTGATAGCATCCCCATTTCCCATTGTCCTGGGCGACACACACACACACACACACACACACACACAGAACTGCTGGGTTAGGTGTCACGGGAGCAATGACAGTCTGGGCACCTCACGCCAGCCTCCGAGAAGCACCTGTCCGTTGGCTTCAGAAGGAGTCTAAGACCGATGGAGCTGGTATAAAGTATTAATCAGGCTGTGACTCTCCTCTAGATCCCTTCTCTGGGAATGTGCTTCTGCGAAGAAAACAAAGAGGAAGGAAAGTGGGCGTTGGTGGCCCCTCCTGTGAAGACACTGACCCACGGCTCCAACTCCGCGTTTAACTGGAGGAACTGGATCCTGGGCAACTGAGGGATCCCGTTATGTCTGCACAACTTCACCAGGAAGAGGCGGGGCCCGGACGGAGGCTGTAAGACACTGTGATGGGCAGGAGTCTCAGTCCCGCCTACCGGGATGGGTGGAAGCACAAAGCGCACTTTTCCGTCCCAGCCAGCCTGCCGTGGCTTTCAGTTTGCTGCCACCTCTGTGGGTCCGTGGCCCTGCAGGCTCAGCTGCCCGATGCCACTTTGTAACCTGTGTCTGCCATGTGGCTTGGAGAGCAATAAGAACTGTGACTCTAGCCGAAACCGGCTTGGCTCAGTGGAGAGAGTGACAGCCTGTGGACTGAAAGGTCCCAGGTTCGATTCTGGTCAAGGGCATGTGCCTTGGTTGCTGGCACATCCCCAGTAAGGGGTGTGCAAGAGGTAGCTGATCGGTGTTTCTCTCTCATCGATGTTTCTAAATCTCTATCCCTCTCTCTTCCTCTCTGTAAAAAATCAATAAAATATATTTAGAAAAAAAAAAGATAGAAAGAAAGAAAGAAAGAAAAGAAAAAGAATTGTGACTCTAATTCCTAGGGATTAAAGATCCACCATACACTCTAAAGGTTATATTCACTTTATTTCATACTAGAGGCCCGGTGCACGAAGTTCATTCGCTGGGGTGGGGGGACCCTCAGCCCAGCCTGTGCCCTCTCACAGTCGGGGACCTCTCACTCCTCACTGCCCACCTGCAGCGGAGGCAGAAGAGGCTACCACCACCGCCACTACGCTCACCAGGCACGAGCCCCGCTTCTGACTGAGCAGTGCTCCCCTGTGGGAGCGCACTGACCACCAGGGGGCAGCTCCTGCACTGAGCGTCTGCCCCCCAGTGATCAGGGCACGTCATAGCAACTGGTCGTTCTGCTGGTCATTCTGCCATTCGGTCAATTTGCATGTTAGGGTTTTATTATATAGGATGTTTCTATTTGCCAAGTTCCCAACTGTTTTTCTCTTTTCTAGTTCAATCACTCTTTGGCTACGTGGGGCAGAAAGAGGTAGAATATTCCATAAAAGGAGACACCAGACCAAAACCAGGAAACTGCTGCTTAGTGACCCCAGCCCGGGTATTAGTTTCCTGTTGCTGCTGTAACAAGGCACCATCACAGAGCGGTAGAGATAACACAATGTAAACACACACACACACACACACACACACACACACACACATACACAATTTATTCTGTGAGATCACAAGTTCTAAAACAGGTCAGCAGGAGGCACAGGGGGGGGGGGGGGGATTCATTTCATTGCCTTTTCCAGCTTTTAGAGGCACCCCACCCTACATAGCACCTTCCTCCATCGTCAAAGACGCTGCTGTCATATCTTCAAGCCTCTCTGGTCCCTCTGTCCACCATCTCGCTGCCTCTTGCTTCTGACCCTCCTGACTCCCTTTTGTAAGGTCTCTGGTGGTAACATGGGGTCCACCCAGTGCAGATAATCCAGGATCTTCTCCACATCTCAAGATCCTTAATCAATCCCATCTACGAAGGCCCCTCTGCCCTGAAAGGGAACTCATCCCAGGTCGGGGGATTGGGATGCGGACATCCTTCAGGGCCACTCTTTAAAAAAAAAAAAAAAATTGTATTGATTTTTAGAGAGAAAGGAAGGGAGAGAGAGAAATGAGAGAGGCACATCATCAATAGGCTGCCTCTTACACACAACCCCAGCATCTGCACTGACCAGGAATGGAACCAGTCACCTCTCTTGGGTCAACACTCAACCACTGAGCCACCCAGACCAGGCTTCAGGGGGCACTCTTGAGCATATCACACCCCAGCATATTGGAACTGCTATTATACAAGCCCAGGTGTAAGAATTTGAGGCACCCCTCCCCTTGGTGTAGGCTGTTTTCAGCTTCTTTCTCTCTTTTGATCAAGTGTAGAAGGGAGGGGAGCTTTGAAAATGGGGGGGAGGAGGATGGGTCCTGCCCTAACTAACATGTAAGACAAACCAGACAGGGACCCACGGCAGTGAAATCTGCCCAGATGGCAGGAGTAAAATGGTACTCTGGCTTAGAGAAGTTGGTTCAGGTGGTTGGTAGGGGTCTCACAGGGGTGTCCTCTCAGTCCAGCCCTGCAGAATAAAAAGGAAAAGCCATCCAAGTGCTCAGAGTGGGACACAGTCATCCCTGGATGTGCTGCCCAACCCAGGCCCTCTGCCTGCTCTCCTGGGTACCCCGTGCCAGACTGACCTCACTAGTCATCATGATGAATAAAAACTTGCAGGTCAAGCTAATGGGATTTGGGGTTGTTCACAGGTATCTGGATTCTCCCTCCCAGGGGTGAGGCTTCTGGGTCTCATGCTCCTGGATAATAAGAGGGACAGATCACGTCCTTTGCAAGAGACACCAAGAGGTGCTTGAGTCTCCATCTCTAGGTCAAGTGTACAAGAAACGTCATTTTGTTCCTATTTTATAATTCTGATTCTGACTAGACCCACCCCCCAATTCTGTTGCAATGACAGAAAAGCCTAGTTTGGTCATTCTTGGCTTCCAGAATGATCCTCATTGTAAGAACTGAGTCTCAGGAAATATGCTGGATAAGGGAAGAGATGGAAGTGATTAAGATTCCAACTTTATGAACTAACAAGAAACCAAATATTAAACAAAGAAAAAAATATTTCTGACCACCTTCCTCTTCCTTCTTTCCTGTCCCAGGACTGGTCCTTGTGTTTATAAGCCTAGTCTGACCCCCCCTGGCATCATCTGGAAATGGACGTCCTGTTACCAGGGACTCCCACCTCCAACACGCATGGCACCTCGATTTCCTCACTTGTGGACTTGAAAGCACAAACCTGGAAGGGATTCTTGAGTTTTAGCTTGGTGGATGTTAATGATATTAATACATCTTGTGGCACAATGACTGGATGGAAGGTGGTGAAAATGGAGGGGCAGCTGGCCTCAGGCTAGCAGCAAAGGAATCGAGGAGCCTAACTCAGTGCCTCTGATGGAGAGCTGCTTAGGGACAGGTCTGGGGCCACCACAATTTGGCCAACACTCTCCTGTGTTTATCTGAGAAAAGTCATCATCTTTCCCCCCTGAATTAATTCTTGTTTTAGAACCAAACTTGGAATGTTTTAGGTATGAATCCTATTAGTGAATTTTATAGACTTGTCCAATGGATGACTTCCTGAGCACCCATAAATTCCCCTGGGGGCTCCCAGAAATACGTGTTGTGTTTTATGAGAATCGCACAGGCATTCTTATTCTCTAGGTGCTTTCCTAGTGTCTTGCGGGAAAGGAGAGATGGAATTCACCCCATAGTCACTGTCCTGGCTCAGCCGGGAGTCCCCTCCATGGCCGTCTCCTATAGAGGGGCGGGTGTATGGCAATTCTTCATCCTAGGAGGAGACACACCGAAAACCAGGGCAAGGCAACCTGGGAACTCTTCGTTTAAAGAACTGGAAGCACAGGCGATTGCAACAACAAAGGAGAATGAAAAATTTACTTGCAATCGTAAACTATTTTCACAAACAACTAAATACGAAAGATTAGTAACGGATCGGTGTTAACTCCCCGAGCGCCAGGCGTTGGGTGGCACAGGCCCCTCACTCTGGAGCATCGGTTTGCCTCGGGTCATCTTCTTCGAAACCCGCAGTTCCTGGGAAGGAAAGGGAAACGTGAGTATTTGGTATGAACGCTTTTCTATTTTAAAATTCTTTATTTGCCGGGCTGGCCTGTTGGACAGGATGGCTGTCCGTGTGAGGCTGTCCTGGGCGTCACAGAACATTTAGAAGCATCCCTGGCGTCCGCCCCAGAAGATGCCAGAAGCACTGCCCGCCACCCTGCCCAGCCCTCCACGTCTCTAGACGCTGCCAAATGTCCCAGAGGCCAAAACTGCTGAACCAAGGCAGGGTCCTCCGGTCCAGGCTGTTTCAGGAACCTGAAGTCTCCGATACCAGCTGGTCCTGATGTCATGACCCGCTCTCTCCCAGCCCGGCTCTCGGATTCCTCAGCCTGGGTGTTGCTCATGCCAGCTCCCTCCTCTTGCTCCCCCCACCTTGGGTTCTGGGTGAGGAAGGCCTTCCCAGGACAGTGTCAGAAGCTTCTAGATTAATGGTGCATTCAACCCCATTTAAAAGGGGCTGGTCCCCACCTGGCCAGTGTGGCTCAGTGGTTGAGCATTGACCATGCACCAAGAGGCCACCGGTTTGATTCTCGTTCAGGGCACATGCAGGAAGTCAATAGTTATCTCTCACTAATGTTTCTATCTCTCCCTCCTAAGAATCTGCTTAAAAACATATTATTTTTAATAATAAAGGACTGGTTCCAAACACTGCCAGCTCCTACCCCTGTGCCTCAGCCCTGATAAACCACGTGACAATACACAGCCAAGCTCTGCATTTCTCAGCGGGACTCTGCAGGCTGAGGCTTGCTCGCCTGTTAGAAACGGAGATTAGCAAAGAGCAGAGAGAGCGCCCGCGGGACCTGCTGTCCCTGACCCCGCGGGAGGTCTGCAGGAGCACCCGGAGGGAGCAGCACCCCGTGGGCCACAGAAGATGCTCAGAGACCTTCTCCCAGCCTGGCTGGGGGCGGAGGGAGGAGAGGGTCAAAGGGAAGAGAACCTCCCGGCCTGTCCCAGCGTGTGTGACCCCACGAGCTCAGGCTCACCCTGCTGGTCCATGTTGTCAAAGCGGAACTCCTCCCGGCCGAACTCGCCACTCTCCTCCCGGAAGGTATCGGTGTCCTCCTCCCCAGGCCTCGCGTAATCAGCCTCCGCATCCGAGAGATCCGCCGGAGGCTGGGCCTCCTCCCCAGGCTCCCCCAGGACTGCAGGCGAAGACACGAAGGGAAACAGCATCCAGCAGGGCGCAGGCTGTGCAGGGTGGCCGCTCCCGCCCCTGCTCGGGGCCCTCTCTCCCTCCTGCCTAGCGAGGGCAGCACCCCGCTTCTCCCTCGGGGGCCACGCCTCCCCAGTGGACATCACCCAGCCCCAGCCCAGGCTGGGCCAGCAGAGCATCCGGTCCCCGTCACAGAGACCGCTCTGGGATGATGACTATGTCCCAAGGGTTCTGATGATCAGGCTGAGAAAGCAGCTAGCTCTCTGCTCCCCAGGGCTCTCGAGCTGATTGGGGGACAGTTTGATAAAGTCGCTGAGGATGCGTCTCCAAGGGGAAGAGAGCGGAGCCACCGCCTGTGAGAGGAGAGACCCGACAGCTGCGGCCTGACCCAGCCACGCCCGGATGGCTGAGCGTGGGCCTCCCAGGTGCAGTCACGAGCCCTCCCAGCTTTGTGAACCAGCAGACCAGTGTTATTCCCCTGAGGCCACCTCGACCCGGCCTCTCAGCACTCTCAGTTCTGCAGCATCCCGGGCCTAACCGCCCCTCGGAAGACCTGCTGTGATGGACGAGGGCCAGACCCTTCTCCAGGGAAGGGCTTG